ACGGTGATTAATGTCATGAATTGGTTTTTTAATAATTCTAATAATATTAAATAAAGAGATCTCCAAAAATTGAAGAAAGAACGCTTTGTGCGCATGATTATTTTTGTGCATTTATTATGACGAATGCCTTTACAAATATTTAAGTGACAAAATAAACTGATAGGCATTACTGCCACCATATCCACTCTATTATTCTCAAAGCATCTGGTATCACAGCACTCATATTCCTTTCCCTTATAAGCTATGCACACAACGAAAGTATTTTATATTTTTAAAACTATCTGGAAACATAGAAAACACTAATCTAGTTGTAGGCAACTCGATCATCCTCTTTAATTCGACGTTACACGAGTTCATGTTGCCTAAGTATAGTACTAAAATTAAAGGTAAAAATATCTGTTAAATGATATCATAAAATAACTGAAAATATACATGGTTAGTTCGCGGACTGCAAATTGAAATGGAATAGATCGAGTCTTTAATGGTCTTGTTTAGCAAAGCTGTGTATTTTATACACTGTTGATATTTATTAACACACAAGAATTACACAATTATTATTTGGATAAACTTTGAAAAACGCAACAAACATTTATTTAAATAATTTATGTTAATGTTGTATCACTCTAAACGTAATCAAATACTTATTTACAGTTATTATATAAACTGTAAATATATATATATATATATATATATATATATATATATATATATATATATATATATATATATATATATATAATAAAATAATATAGGTGTTATTTTTGTAAAAGATCCACAGTAATATTTTTAATATGTTCGAATCAACATTGATAATTAAAATTTGGTTATAGATCTGATATAGTGTAATAAAAAACACTAGGCTTTTAATAAATAAATGCATGCAAAAACTGATACAGAAAGAGGAATACAATCAAGTAATATAAAAAAGTTTTTTTTTGTCTATAACCGTTATTATTCGTCATTAGTCTGTCTACCTTAGATTAAAACACCCTGTTGAAACTTTACACAACGCCCATTTGGTGGCGTCAATATAATTCACAAAAATAACGATTTTTTTAAGTTTAAGTTCCGCAACATAAGTATTATGAGTTGTATTTGTATAATTAGTAGGAAACTCCAAAGCATACTTTAAGATAAAAATCTAATTATTTAATTATTAAATAAATTAACTCTGATATGAAACGTGTAATGTTCATGGCGTTCCTACGCATCTGTAGCTATTTACATTTATTTGTCAAAATATACAAGGCTATATTTTAACATATGAAATTAAAAAAAATATTTACAATACATGTGAACAGATAATATTACCGATCACCGAATGTTTGACAAAAACATCGTTATTAAAACTAATTATTTACATTGATATTTTATTGTCACCATATTTAACGTGGTGAAGTAACCATTACTAGAAACATTATTAAGAAACGAATCAGAAAATAAATCATTTATCTAATAATGATTTTCGTTGAAACTCTTCAGTTGATTTCATCGAGTTTTTACCAATACATTTAATTAAATATAGGCAGCAACCATCCATTAACAGCAATACGAGGCCGGAGATTACACTCACAACTCACATTCACTATAGAAATTAATATATACTCGTACAATAAAAAATTCCGACACCTCTATATATACCATATAAATAGTTATAATTTTTATATAAATATATACTGAAATTTTCGCCCTGGCACCTTTCCCGTGAGCCAACAGGATAAGGATTATAGACTTTTATGAAAAATAATACGTAGTTTGCATTGTTATTCTAATTTTATTAATAAATTACATCTAGACACTTTTATCTTACGATATTATTTCATAATTAAACTACGATACAGCGATGAATGAACTACGTAGAAAAAAATTCAAAGCTTAACCGTGCGGTGAGTTCATTCATCTAGTATCGTAGAAAAACGAAATATAACATTAAAAATAATGAAGGAACTAACAACGATCCAGACTTTATTCATCCGCGTACAATCAAATTGTAACACAAACGCAATCCTTAGATAATATCAATAAACACGTCTATTTACACGTTTAAATATATTGTTTGTCTTCTAGACTTATCTAAATTCTACACGATATTCACACTAGAAACGATAACAATAACGTCAATTTTCCGACTGTTAGGACACAAGCACAGAGTACCTTTATATATACTGAAAGACACAAGGTTAAGACTGTTTACTATAAACATAAGTATTTTACGGAAAACTGACACCGACTAATAGAAATTTTCTTAGAGTAATTAGGTACACATGTATGCTAGTGATTAGGGGAGATGCGTGTAATACGATCCCTTGAGGTAAAATGATCCCCCACTCTATAAGAGTGACTACCAGCGACATATATCCAAATACGCAACAAACGTCATCCCAGCGAACCCCGCCAGTTGCCTCTCCAAATGTCATGGCGGTGTGAGCTCTTAACGAGATTTTATTAGAAAAAAATTAAAAAAACGTGCTTCGAATCTATGGTAAGCCTAATTTTGAGTTTCACTACTTTCAGTATGTTAAGATTTATTGAAATGTTGTTTTATTGGTGCATTCTATTACATTTCAGCTATATTTAAGCAATGTTTGAATACCGCACGTTGTATTTGAAGGTCATATTTTGATCGATGTCTTGATATTTGGTTTTTGAGGTGAAATGATCCCTCTTAGTACGTATAAAACGATCCCTGGAATCATATTACCCCATTAGTATTTTTAAAAGTTTTTATTTAATTTGCAATGTATGTATGGATGTATGTATGTATGTATTTATGTATGGATGTATGTATGTATGTGTGTTAGGGTCAAATCTTGCACTTCTCGGTGTCCGATTGAGCTGAAATTGTATATGATTAAGTAAGTCCGGTTACAATGCAATATTATGGTACCATCTATCTGATCTGATAATGAAGCAAGGGTGTAGAGACAAGAACTTCTTGATGGCAAATGGTAGGACAGTTAAATTTGGGTTAAATTTCAGCTATCACCACAAGCAAATATGCGGGAACCTTCGGATTGGACACTTCAACTTTCGACGCAAGAAGTCATTCGGAAATCTCCACAAGTGCCATAGTCGTCGGCACTAGTACTTATATAAGAATCTCTACCTGCAACGCCTCAGAATCAATACATGTGTGTAGCACAAGTGTAGCTCCGCAAGGTTTTCTTAGTGACAGGTAATCGTCCTCATCCAAAAGGTCAGTTCGTAGTCATCTATCTCCAATTTTGACTACAACACTTGAATCTAATGCAAATGTGTCTCCAGCAATGGCTGTTGACCTTCCATTCACATATTTTGCGGTTTTAACACCGGGGCAAATCCAACCATTGAGAAAAATAGTACCGAGAAGAAATAATTTAAGACGAGTAAAAGTAGACACGTCTGTACTGACTGCTCTCTAGGTAGTTTTGTAAACTACCTAGAGAAGAAACGAGAAAAAAAAAAAACAGATGAAGAACAAAAGAAAGCCAATAAAAAATTAAATAAAATAAAAAAACCGGTTGCAAACAAAAAGAAAAATAAATGGATGGAACCGCCTCCTTTCGAAAGGAAAAAATAAGACATAAAATATAAAACAGATCGTTCTGAAGAGGACTGTGGTACCAAATTCCTGTTCTGTACCGAAACCTATCCTAAAGACAATAAAGGTGAAGGGTGGATAAGATGCGTTGTGTGCTTGAAATGGGGACATGAGTCTTGTGCGGAAATAGACAACTGCGATGAAGAAGACTTTACTTGCGATTTATGCCTTTCTAATCGTTTTGGAAGTGTGAAAAAAAGTTATTGCTATAGTTTGTTTTTTTTTTAATTCACATCATATGAAGTATGAATCATTATTTTTATTTTTATTATTGTTGATTGTTTTTGATTGTTTTAATTATACTTTGTTAAAACTACAAAATTTAAAGAGGTTTTATTGTCTTTTTAATTTAGAAAAATAATTTATTCTATAAACCTTAAAGCGTTTGTTACAATTGTTTAGTTTAATTTTGTTGATTTAGTAGTAGCAAGTTAAAAAAAATTGATCTCCAATGTAACTCAAGACTTAAAATGTTATGTGTAAACACGCTTACACATTTTTCTTGCTATAAGCAATACATATGATTAAAATAAACAGCTGGGTATTTTATTTTGCTAATATTAAATATCGTAAGTATGAAATGATCCCCAGGGATCGTTTTATACATACATGTGTATAAAACGATCCCTTACTAACCTTTTCGAAAATATGACAGAACTAATAAACCACATACATATCGTGAAGAATAAGTATGCAATTACAAAGATAAGTAAATATATACTATTCTTAACAATTTAAATCTTGTGTTTTTGTCTTAAACTTTGAGCGCAGTTAAGTTTTTCTCTTAGCGGGATCATATTGCACGCATCTCCCTGAGTAAATTTTGCAAAGTTAAATTTAAAGTACGCACAAGTAAAAACCTACAAATTTTAACCTATTTAATGTGTCCTCTGATTATAATTAACAAACAGCTTACTGTATATATCTACGTATATTTCCATTTCATTGATATCTGGAATTGACGATATTAGGTGTTGATGTGTCGACATATTTTTATTTCTTTTTACGTTATCAAATATCATAGATATTTTGTGGCGTGCGTATTGTTCCGCATGTCACAACTTGTGCGACGTTTCTAGACCATTAATAATCATCGCAAACTAGCTAACATTCGCACTAGTTTTATGTACGTCCTCTACAACTAGCTATTCTTGCTAATTGGATGCTTTGTTACGCTTTTAAGTTAGGTACTAATATGGTTTTATCACATTAACGACGACTTGATGTATTCCTAAAATTTAAAAATCTGGAACGTTTGCATACCAAATGTTCCAGATTTTTAAATTTTATCTTATTTAGAATGTGGGTTTACGTGGCAATTTGATTGTTTTTGCTTTGCTTGCGAATTATTAGTATATTATTTGTTAAACAAAGTTTATTCCTACGTTAATGTGATATCACCTTTATGGGTTAGTCGTATTCAAGCATACGGATGCAAGGTGACAGGTTCGAAGTCTTCATGTGATGAACGTTTGGGCGGTTGTCGGTGAGGAGGCGGCGGGGGTGGCAGCAAACTCGTGCCTTCCGGTATATATACGTTTGTTACTCGCTCCTGTATCAAAATCATACGATAGCCATGTTACAATTTATATTAATAAATATAACACAGACATTAATACTTTTTCACTTGATGGTAAGTGGTAACCTTTGTCTATCTTGCCTTTATCACTTCTGAGTTTATTAAGTCTGTAAGTAATAATTATACTGGCCCTCCACATTCTTCTAACTGGCCCACAGACATGGATGCAATGCTGCATGGCGACAGGAATAGGTGGGCGGAAAAAATATTTCCACCAAAAATCCAAAGATACCGAGACCCTTCGCCTGCGCTGATTCTGATCATGTTGACTTACAGATTGTGAAAGTCCATCAAAAAGTTACGGTCACCATTACAGAGCGTGATTTCCCACGTTAAAAATGTACCTAAAGTTCAGCTTAGCAGCGAACAGATAAGCAAAAATAAAGCGTACTATTACGAGCTTGGGGTTCGAGACAATTAAAAACTGCTTGTTAACTGTAACTAGTGTTGCTTGCACCAGGCATTAATGGTGGCGCTCAACATTAGGTACTACGAGTATCACCAATGGAGATATCGTTTAGTTATACAACTTACACGTCAAATGAACGTCGTACAAATTACAATTACAATTACAATTTTGTAACATCTTATTTCACACTCGTGAAGATCTCCAATCCGAATTTCAGACTTCCATGTCTAGCGGTTTGGGCTGTGCGTTGATAGATTAGTCAGCCGTAAAATGTACATATATATATTATATATATATATATATTAATAATATGTACATATAATATATGTACATTTTATTAGTCTCTAAAATGTATTTTATGCCTCAAACACGAGACGTGGAAGAGCCATGCTGCAGCTATATTGCTGGTATAGTTGTAGCCCGGCGGGGTCGGTGTTGAGTATAGAGAACCAGAGATCCTTTTTACTGGAAACGAGGCATTTCATCTTAGTCCTCACAGGTGACAACGCATCTACATCTTGATTCGTAATCGAGGATATGTCGATGGGCCGCAGCAACCACTTACCATCAGATGGACTGTGTGCTCGTTTGTCACCCTATTCTATAAAAAAACACGTCTTATACTATGTTCACTTTACTGTTAGTACTCTGTATGAGATTTTTAATTATGTTGGTACTAACCTGGCTCTTGTCATATTTGAATATGCCTTGGAAGCGGTTCGGACGTCTTTCAGGTGGTTCTTGGCCACTGCTGCCACTCGCGCAGCTGTAGTTCGGATTGTGGAATGAGATGTGACCGCCCGACTCTCGGTAGTTCTCTTTTAAGTCGCCTCCTCGACCAGTGTGTAGTTTTACTATACAATAATAAATTTGGGCATTAAAACTAAATAAATCTTTACGTTTTATAATTGTATAAAATAAATAGTCCTTCTAATTGCATCGTTATATAAAAATTAAACGGTAATCTATGTATAATGTACAAGATGATATTGTCATAACTGTATCGTAAATAATATAAGGCGTGATATTTGAAATATTTTATATGGAGTTATCAAGATGCTATCTGCTGTTATATTAAAATATAACGACATTATCACACATACATTTTCAGATACTTTACAAGCATTTTAAGTTTTGAACGCTTAGGTAAGCTACGCGTCGCTAGAGTCGCTACCGACAAATGTAACTAAGTTTTGCACACTACGGCCGTTTTGACTCTAGTATGTAGCGGTTACACACAAGACATGTATAAAACATCCATGTTTATATAATTAAAATTTATCGGAATACGTAACAAACTATTTAAAGAAAAGGTATTTTGAGTAAATTCAGTTTGACAGGACTGTTTAGGTATTAAACTTTAGAGAGAGTTTTTTTATAGGAGAGGAGGCAAACGAGCATGCGGCTCACCTGATGGTAAGTGACTACTGCCGCCCATGAACAACTGCAAAACCAGGGAATTGCAGAGAGTAGGCTCTTTTCTTGAAGGTCCCTAAGTCGTAGGTATTGGTCCGGAAAATTGCTGGTGGTAATTGATTCCACAAGGAAGTTGTGCGAGTGTGAAAACTTCTTCTAAATCGCACAGTGGTGGATCGCCAATCATCCAGATGGTGTGAGTGTGTGAATTAGTCCGAACAATTCCTCAGAGCACTCCCCGTGATAGATGCGATAAAATACGCAAAGAGATGCAACATCTCTACGCACTGCCAGTGGGTCAAGCCGATCGGTAAGAACTCGGTCGTCGACGATTCAAACCGCTCTGCGCTGGATGCGGTCAAGTGGAAGGAGATGGCACTGGGAAGCCCCTACCCAGAGATGGGAACAGTATTCCATGTGAGGTCGAACCTGCGCCTTGTAAAGTTAAAGGAGTGTGCCGGCATGAAATACTGTCCCGCTCTGCTGAGCACGCCAAGCTTTTTAAAGGCCACTTTGGCCTTCTCTTCCAAGTGACCACGAAACTGCACGTCACTCGATATGTCGACACCGAGGATTCCGATACTGGCTGAGGCAAGAAGGGGAGTGCCTTGAAACTGAGGAGATACGACAAAGGGGTTCTTTTTAGCGGTAATCGCGCAAATTTGTGTCTTCTGGGGATTGAACTGGACTAAATTTAGTCGCCCCCAGTCTGAGACTTTGTTCAACAAAGTCTCGATTTCAGACACAAGTTTGTTCTGGTACTCGGCGACGTTTTCCCGAGAAATATTGGCACGGCCGGTGTATAAAGCATCACCAGTGCTGTCGTCTGCATATCAATGAATGTTACTCGTTTGCAAAATATCATTGATATGCAGAAGAAACAGCGTTGGTGATAGCACGCAGCCTTGTGGAATACCAGCGTTGATGGGCTTGTAATAGTCACATTTAGGTAGCAACATGTGTGAAAATATACTAATAGGTGACCTATGTTTATGCTTGCCAATGCCTAAAAAACTATTTTATAAAAGCCTAAAAGTTTAAAAAGCCTAAGTAATGAATTCGCCTATAAGTGTAGTTAATATATTATATATTGTTACTGTGCATGCGAATTCGGACGGAAATGTGTTCGGACGAGTGCGCCCGAAATCCTCGTCAGAGCAAGGGTTACCCCGGCAATACATGTTGGCCAAGCCTCAGCCAACGCGAGCTTAGGCAAATTGATACAAGGCGAGTGCTACAGTCTACACGTTGGTCAAGTTCGTTAGAGATCAGTGCCAACTACCAACGTTCACGAGTTTCTGTGGAGCTATCCACATGTTGGCCGTAATTAGTTTTTATTGAGAATTGGAATGATAGACGTAGAAGTTATTGCAGCTTCTACTACTTATTTAATGAGTGCATTAAATTGTTATGTCAGTATTAATGAGAGAATTTAATTAGTATATCATTTAAGTTGTAAAAAAGAAGAGGCAGTGACATTGTCAAAATTATTTTGAAGTTGCAACTTAATTAAAACGATATCTCACCGGGACGGACGCCAAGCTGTAACTGACATGGCCGACTAACATGTGGACGTGGACGCGACTTGCCGAATGAAGGCGAGCGCCTTTGATTTGTGCAGAAAAATCGACACTGTTCTGAAGTGAACGAGTCGTAGCGAGCGATCCCGAGTGGTGGCAAGGCACGCCAAACGATCCGTATACACGTAGGCGCTCGCCTGCACTCGGCCAGCTAGGCGAGCGACGACGAGCAATGGCGAGGCTAAACAAATGAGCTGTTGGTGTTCGCCTTCGCTTGGCCAACATGTATAGCCGGCTTTACATTGTGCGCGTTTACTAATATTCTGATAGTCAGTACGTTCCTGCTGCTCAGCAATGATGGACGAACTTCATGAATTTTATTTTCTTGGAATTCAGTTTATGAATTTATTGTTGTTAAATGGTAGAAAAACAGAGCATATCAATCATTTATTTTGTATTAATGACGATTTATTTTAATTTCGTCTTTCATATCCCATAACACCTGTTCTCGTAAACTAGACTTATCAATTTATCGTTATGCATAGTTATTGGTTAAATAACCAAATCATTCGAAATTAAAGTCACGAAAATACCCAAAACAGATGCAGGTAGTACGACAAAAAATTAAAAATGTTTGAAGTTTGAACGCTCAAGTGGCTCTGACTGACTGACTTCGTGCATGTGCTAACGTGTTCGTCGTTTGTTTGTTCGGACGAATTCGTCAGAACACATTTTCGTCCGAACTCGTATCCATAGCAACCGTAGCCTAAATAATCGTGCCTATTGCCGTTACCGTTACCGCCTATCAAAGGCCGCTGCTGAACATAGGCATCCCCCATAGATTACCTCATAGGGAGCATATTTCCTATAGTTTCCACGCCTGTGGAGCGGGTAGGCAACTACAGTTTATTTTTAGTTTTAATCGTTATTGGGAAGACGTTGCTGCCCATTTCCTAATTTGTTTCCCTCTGTCGCCTCTTACAACACCCGTGTGATGACATTGGGTAGTGGATATTCTTACACCGCCGCTACACGGTTGAATCGTGCTGAACTAACTTATTCATTTAGGTATACATTTTTATATATTTGAAGAATTCGAATTATACATGATGTTGCGAACTTGTTAATCTAAAAGCACTACAAAAGATACAAATGTATTTATATTATTTACAAATTTGTTTCATTTAATTAAAAATATTAATTATACATGTCCTTACCGCAGATAAAAATAATGGTCGACGCGCCAAGCACAACACAGGCGATTAGTACAATACCAATTATCATGGCGCCGATGCTCCTTTCAGATGGTGGCGTTGGCTCCGGTGGCTTATTGACAACCTCAGGGTCCATGTAATCGTAGTAGGATGGATAATGAGATGGTATGCTCAAGTCGACTCGTAACTTTGGAACTGCAAATACAAGTTTCAGAATAAATAAACCTCGGCTTTCTGAATCTTCTGAACGAGGTTCATATCCCCGTCGAGACTCATTATTTGTATCGGTCGATTTCATATAGGGCGGAGTAAGCTTTCTAGGCTTCGATCAACAAAATTGATTGAAGTTTTTAGGCCCAAAAGGTCAAAGTTTCACAAGGTTTCATGTTGATCTTAGGCTTTAGGTACCATTTTTATGTGGGACTTATAACAAAAAATAGCGTACCGTAAAAGAAGATTATTTAAAAGGTAACATAATCGCGGAAACAGCTCAAAGTTTCAACTCTCGCTTCCAAGATGTTTCTAAAATAAATTTTGAAAATAGTTTCTACAACCTTTCATATTGTATAATTTACTTCAAAAAAAGTTCCGCTGGGTTTCTTGCCGGTTCTTCCCAGGACAGAGATTTTTTTTCCGAACCAGTGGTAAAGTAAAAATTACTCGACAAGAATTAAATGTAATATATATTGAATAAAAAAATATTCCATTGTATTGTCTATTGTGTAATATGTGTTTATATAGTTACCCAAAATACATTGACGACTGTCCGGTTCATCTGGACAAGCGCAGACGTAGTCATGTTCCCGGAATAGGCAGAGATGCGAACAACCTCCATTATCTTCCTTGCAAGGGTTCCAACCGCGTTGCTTGTCCGCTGACACAGATTTTATCTCCATTGACATATCCAGATCAGTTCTTATCGCTGTGAAATTTTTTCCTGTCTTCTTGTCAGCTCGCAGCACGGATTTGTTGAACCAATTTGTCCAGTAAAGATAATCGTTGAACTGAAAATGGAAAGGTCATTTTGATACCTAATTTCTTGCTAAGAAAGGTCAGAAAAAATGCGATGAACAATCGTGTCAAGTTCGACGATTAAAGCAAATCAAACAGAAGAAACGGTAGGTAGAGGCACTTGTGCCACCGCCAACGATGAACGAGAAGCGAGTAGAGAAACTAGACAAGAGTTGGCGAGCAGCGAGAAGCGAGTGTGCAGTTCCGATTATTTTGTCGCTGGACTATAAGCGATTGTACTCAGATCTGCACTGTAGAATAAAATGGTTGGGTTTTTGGCGTGAGTGAGTTCTGACCGCCAAGCGAGCATTGCTGAGCGAGTTTTATCTTTGATAACTCTTCTCGCTGCAACAAACTAGTGAAGAGAAAGTTCTCGTCGTCAGAGTGAACAGCCAGCGATCGACTATTAATATATGTATCTCTTTTATTGACACGGGATCTTCGTTTGAGCGAGAAAATAGTTGATAGCTAATCGCTTCCTCGTCGGCGGTGGGATAACTGCCAGAATGTGTCTGGGTCCCAAATCCCATACAAATATATGGCATATTATACATACTCTTAGCAGCAGTATGTATAATATGTTATGTTTGTTGTGTATGTGACAACCCAAACAGTTACCAGCGTATATAGACTTAGGCCAAAATGTATATACGCTGTATATAGGCTTAGGCCTAGAAGAAATGTGAGTAGTGCCATAATTTAAAGACTTACAAAATTTTAAAAGCCAATTGACTGCAAACCGATTGGGTTTTATGTCCACTTTAAATACCAATTTAAAAATAAATTATGGTTTAAAAATATATTACAAGTTAAATTATTCAAAATTCATTTATAACGACTATATTGGGCTGGGCACACTACATGTCATTTAATTTAAATCCCGAACTGCCCATTTTGTCGTTCTTGTTTGAAGTTTACAGTCTTTGTACAATAGGGTAATTTATTATCATATGGACTACTAGACAATCTATACAAATAAGTAAAGTTAAAGTGTCTGTTTGTAATGTCAAAATAACAGCTTTTTACTAATTGTAATATACAGTACCTATAACAGAAACACAATTTTTAAAATCTTTGTCTGTCTGTCTGTCTGTTTGTTCCGGCTAATCTCCGAAACGGCTGGACCGATTTTGACGGGACTTTCGCACTGGTAGATAGCTCATGTTATAAGGAGTAACTTAGGCTACTTATATTTTTGAAAAATAATTAGGGTTCCGCGAATTACACGCGGGCGAAGTCGCGAGGAACAGCTAGTTTGTCATAAGATAAAGGGTAAGTCCTATAAAAAAAATTAGGACTGCCTTATATTTTATTAACAAAACATAGTTATTGTTATTATAAGCTTGCTAGGAATGTTGACTGGTAGAGAATTCCTATATATGCATTAACTCCGCCCTTTGTATCTTTTTTGTAATAGCGAAAACAATAAATTATAAATAAATTAAGCCTTAAAGAAATGTGAGTTAATAAAACAATAAATTATAAATAAATTAGGCCTAGAAGAATGTTTAACTGTAGAAATGGCATGTGCTGAGTTTGACCACCTCATTATTGTGAGCGTCTACAGACCCGCATGTTCTATATACGATACTTTTGTAAGCAGAATAAATCTGTTGTAATATGTGGAGATTTTAATATCAATTTCCTAGAAGCTTTCTCCGCCAATATTACATTTAGATTATTGCTTAAATCATATGGTCTTTTTAATTTATTTTTAGAGACAATGCGTATAACTGAATGTAGTGCAACATGTACATATAACGTTTTTACAAATGTTAAGCCGTTGCATAAATGTATAATTCAAAAATTGAGTTCTGATTACTGTGGACAATTAGTTTCGTTCACAAAAAGCAAGTAGATGAGAAAATTGTGTTTGTTCCAATATAAAAAGGGTTATTATAATATTAAGGAATTTATGGATGATAATAACCCCTGGAAATGAGGTGATCGCTACCAAGCTATGTCTAATTAGTTTTGTGTGGTTAATTGTGTAACATACATGATTGTAAGCTGTCATTCAAAAGAAGTGACTTTCAGTAGGCATTATTTATAATCTATATTGAATAAAAAGTTTCTGTTTCTGTTTCAAAAATACTAGTTGGCCAGGCAGACGTTGTTCTGCCCTCTCCGACGACCCTGCCTGTGCCCTACAAAAATTCTTAAATACGTAATAAAAAATATTGAGGGTCACTTATAGGGATAAAAACTATCCTATCCCTCAAGTTGGATTAAACTGTACATAGTGTGCAAAATTTCATTGCAATCAGTTTAGGAGTTCATCGCGGACAAACAATGTGACACGTAATTTTTATATATAAAGATATAACTTTCTCATTACCTGGGTCATTCCAAAGGGGTTTTTCGCATTAGGTACCAACTGCACTCGGTGTTGACCGTTCAGATCGGATGTATCGATCCTATCTTTTAAAGCATCCGTCCAGTATAGTCTACGTTCTTTGTAGTCGATAGCAAGGCCATTAGGGAAACCTAGATCATGGTTCACGATTGCTTTTCTTTGACTACCGTCTAAGAAAGCCCTCTCTATCTTCGGTGTCTCGCCCCAATCGCTCCAGTATAAATACCTATTAATAGTATTAAGTTGTAAGAAAGTATTTAAAAATTATGTATATTTGAGCTATAAAATATAAAAAAACCGAAGCAATCATTAATTCAAAAATTCTAAAATTTCCGCCAGTTTCAGTAGAACCTAATAATTAGTGTCGGGTTCATCGCCCACATCGCGCTACCACTATACTTTGAATTAAGCCCGTCCAATAAGCGGCCACAGTCGCATTTAAAATGAACTCGTGACCCTTTGTTGATGCTGGAGGCGACTACCGTGGGATTTTAGTTGGTAAGAGTCCGACATAACCTGCCTGCTTCCCTTATAGCAGTCGGGTATCCATGATGATCCTCATGTAAGAAAGAGTGCATCGCGTGCAGTTAAACTTGACATTTATAAGTGAATATGGGAGAAAAGTTGGTGTATTTTATACTTCTTCACTCCTTATCTTCCTTTCTTTATTTCCACGCCCTTTCATAGTTTGTATATTGTCCAATAAAAAAAATATATTTCATAAGAATATTTAAGAAAATACTACAAAGATATAACTATTTTTATGGTGTGTAAGGGATTTAATTTTATTTAATTTTAACTTTGACCGTTTATATATATTATATATACAATATCTCATTAAAAATGCGATTAAAACCATGAAACTAGTTTTACTCGCGGGGAACAGCGTCAAAAGTGTGAGACGTCTGGCATTGTGATCGCAAATCTTTACTATAAGCATGCTATTAAGACAAATTCTTCATAACGGGAGAGGCCCATCATCAAATTGGACTTAAGGGTTGATAAAGAAGAAGTTTTATTAATTTTGTACTAGAATTTTAATATACCCTTTAGCTGGAAAAAGTGCTAGCGCTCGAGGCTCTGTTAAATCAGTAATCAACGTTTTCCGGCTGGATCCGTCCAATCGCGCCACCTCAACCACCTAAAATCATAATTTTTAATGAGTACAAAACAAATTTGAAAGAAAATTTCCCCTGCTAATATCAAATATTTAGTTCCTTATGCATAAGTTTATAAAACATTGGGAGTATGACTGAAACTGAACGAATAATATACCTACATGTAAGTTTGATTTCCTAATCGTTTTGTGTTTTAATGTAAGTAGAAGAATTAGAACTATTTCTTGTAGATGCATTACTTATGACTGTTAAACCTGTATTTAAAATGTTTTTGATATGTATTATTAATTAAACACTTAAAACAATTATAAATATATTATTCTTCGCATTTTCATGTATACCTAAAAAGAAAAAAAAAACTTTCATACCTTGTAATCATTATCGGTCCAATATAGATTATTTGCTATCCAATCTACACCTATACCGTTTGGTGTATTTAGATTAGTATCGATCAAAACTTTAGTGTCGCTCATATTTTTCATATTGATGGACCTGAAATCGGAAGCAACAAAAACTAAATAAGATTGGGTAACACGCACATAATATGGATTAGAGGTTATGAGAATATTAGTTAACGTGTCGAGAGCCTTGGCACTGTGCGAATTAGTACATCGATTTGGTTGTAGTTACTTAATTTTTTCAAGTTATGTTATATGGCGTTGACAAATACCAGGGATATATTATATACAGAATAATTTTGACAAACGAGCACACAGTCCACCTGATGGTAAGTGGATGCTGTGGCCCATAGACGTCTACATCTATCCTCAGTAAACTAATGAGCACTAAGATGGAACGACTATAGGTTCGTGCCGTCATTACATCAGATTTGATAGACCATAAATCCTCGCTATGTCTAACGAGAAGAAGTCAGTTTGAGGTATGTCTCGTCAGACATACCTCAAAACCTTAAAACGATATTGTACAACCAGTGCGTGTTGCCTGTGATGACTTATGGATCTGAGACGTGGTCCTTCACTGCTGGCCGTATGAGGAAGCTCAAGGTCGCTCAGCGAGCTGTGGAGAGGGCTATGATCGGAGTTTCTCTGCGTGATAAACTTAGGAATGAGGATATCCGCAGTAGAACCAGAGTAACCGACATAGCCCAACGGATTAGTAAGCTGAAGTGGCAGTGGGCCGGCCATATAGCTCGAAGAACCGACAACCGATGGGGAAGAAAGGTTCTTGAGTGGCAGCCTCGTACCGGTAGGCGAAGTGTAGGGCGACCCCCCACGAGATGGAGTGACGACCTGGTAAGACATGCAGGAAGTCGATGGATGCAGTTGGCTCAGGACCGTGATTTGTGGCATTCCTTGGGGGAGGCCTATGTTCAGCAGTGGACTTATGACAGTCTGTAAAGACTGGTAAGTGGCCGAACATGCGCCGTGTAAAGTTGCAAGCGGTGTGCCGGCATGAAATACTGTCACGTTTTACAAAGCACGCCTAGATTTTTTGGGGCCTGTTTGGCCTTCCCTTACAATTTCCACATGCTTGAAATTGGAGCATGCACCGTCGACTACGACTTTAATGCTCCGACCTGAGAGAAAACTTGTGATCCAATTGTATAATTACTTTGGAAGCCTATTTCGCAAAGCTATTAAAATTAAAATAAAACATTCTAATTTCAATAGAAGAGATAGCTGGGTGCTACCATCTGCTGGGGAACCTATAATTAATTAAATAAATCACAACCCGAGCATACAACTGTTAGAATTTAAGATACTATAAGTTTATAGTACATAGATCGGACCAAAAATTAATAATTTTAATCTGAAGGGAGCCGTGATTATCTATAACATTGAGACGTCCAACACCTCAGTCCTCCCGTGACCATGGGGACCATGAGTGCTTTAAAGTACTCGAAACGTTAGGAATATAAAATAAGATAATATAAGAGATAAAATCCGTAAAAACTAGTTTTATTTAAATTCGTTCTTTTGTGCTAGTTAGTTTTTATTAGAAATGATATGCTAATATTTGTAGATGATTTATCGCATAATTATTTTGTTCTTGTTGTATACGATATTGTATATCGGTAACTATTTGTAAAATTGAGTACACCTTTGTTAACTCTTACTTGAAATGAATTTTAATAGCGATTAAATATTTAATGAAATTTTATAAACAGTTTACAAAAACCGTACTTGACTACATACATATTATTATTATTAATAATAATAATAATGTTCTCTACACTGAATTTCGGTCACGGCGATTAGTCTCAACGAAAAATAGTCATCTGCACATGACAGTATTATAGTGTACGAGTGTGTGCACAAGCACAAGTGCACTCTTTATTCCCTCACTCTCATACACAGAGTGCTTTGATTCTTATAGGCCGATGGAGTGACAATACGATACGACAGGACAGAGATCAAACGATCGATACGGATCGGATATACAGGTTATATCTAAGCATATAACAATACGTGCAAAAGAGATTATGTCAATAGTAACGAACCTAATTACGTCATTTCCAACGTCTGTAAAGAATATAAGCTTTTCCTCCCAATGGTAGTCAACAGCGATGGCATTTGAAATATTCTTCACAGGAAGCGTAATGTCCCAATTTTCTGGGGTGTCCAACGATATCATCGTCATAGTGGCTCTAGTGGCAATCACCAAAAAGTTGTCGGGATGAGGCTTACAGACTTTTGGATTGGGTAATGTTTCATTTTCAAATAGCATTCCTGTTGGACATTCGCACGAATAACCTTCGGGCGTTCGTAAACAGAGATGGGAACAACCGCCGTTATTTTCACCACAAACGTCTGTAAAGGCCTCGTCACTCTGAAAAAAAAAGCAATTTTAATTAAATACCTTGTAAATTTAAGATGCATCCAAAAGAAGAAAAATTAAAATTTTGTACGGTGATGTGGTCAGCAAAAACCTTCACATTGTAGTTTCCGTTTATTGTACAAGTACGTTTGAAAGGTCAAAGTAGAAAAAGGAGATAAGGAAAGCTAGTTCACCCTAACGTTGTAAGAATAATAAGAGTGAAAGAGACAGAGAACAAAAAATGCAACATGCTTCTATATTAAAGGGCATCAATTATAGTTCTTTATAACTAATACAATTTTTATTTACAAAATGAAAACAATTAATGTTATTAACTGAACATAAATGTAAATTTGAATCGTGGTACTAACTTTAACAGCACGTATATCCATGAGTCCTTCCAAATTTTCTCGAATTATCAGTTTGTGTTCTCCATTTGTTTTATCTGCTCTATGAAGTGCCTTTGTTTTCCAGTCTGTCCAGTAAATATGCTGACCTACTATGACGAGCCCGTAAGGATAAGGGACTTCGCTCATCAAAAGTCGACGGTCTTTCCCGTCAAAATCGGAACTTTCAATAGTTAGAACTTTAGCATCGTTCCAAAAGAGACGACTTTCAATTCTGTCTATTGCGAGACCGTTGGGCCACTTGATATTAGTATCTACAATAACGCGTCTGTGAAATAAACGAAACATTATCAACAATGAAATTATTTTATACAAGCTGTGGCGCGCGACTTCGCCCGCGTGGAATCTACTACGATTTCATGGATATCATTTTTTTTGCGCGGAATCTTAATTCTGTTTTTGAGTAATGTTAGCATCTTATAAATATTGACAAATATTGACAATAATATTTATACGATACGTCAATCAATTGTTTTGCCTTCCCGGAACCCCTCCACTTACACTTAAACTTTATGATATGGTATTAAAGTTCAAATTGGCTTTTAAGTATTATTATGAATCTTTTGTGTGGGAATATAGAAAAGTGTTGTTTTTAGACTTTTTTTAGGCAATTTTTTAAATTTTTCTCTCCGTAAGAACCATCTTCGTACTTCAAGGAATATTATAAAAAAAGAATTAGCGAAATCGGTTCAGCTGCTCTCGAGATTTACGCTTGGCAACACATTCAGCGATTCATTTTTATATTATAGATTGTACGATAAGAATTAATGTATTTTTTTACACATGTAGGTAAGTGTGGCAATCGAGCGCACATTTCATCTGATGGTGAGCTGGGACCCATAGTAATCTATACAAATAAATAAACTGAAGTATCTGTTTGTAATGTTAAAATGTTTTTACTACTAAATACATGTGAAATTATATACGGTACTTATAACAAAAACACAATTTTTAATTTTTTTGTCTGTCTGTTTGTTGCGGCTAATCTCCGAAACGGCTGGACCGATTTCGACGGGACTTTCACTGGCAGATAGCTGATGTTATAAGGAGAAACTTAGGCTACTAATATTTTAGAAAAACAATTATGGTTCCGCGCAACATAATTGGTAAAACATGCAAGAAGTCGATGGATGCAGGTGGCTCAGGACCGTGTTTTGTGGCATTCTTTGAGGGAGGCCTATGTTCAGCAGTGCACTTGTGAAGGGCTGTAATGATGATGATGATGATGCAACATAATTAAAACCTTTAATTACACGCGGGCGAAGTCAGGGTTCCGCGCAACGTAATTAAAACCTTAAATTACACGCGGGCGAAGTCGCAAGGAACATCTAGTTAATTGATAATGAAAATCGAATAATGAATGAATGCCTCGTTACCAGTAAAAAGGGTCGCGACACTCATCAATTAAAAAACCTTTTGTTTATACTGGTACTCTACGCTCCCCCTTCGTGCTGCATCTATAATACGGCTTCAGCGTAACCCTTATCACGCAAATATTCAAAAATATTTATTTACCTGTTTTTGCCATTCATATCTGCTCTTTCAATCTTAGCAGTTGTTCCCCAATCGGACCAAAACATGTAGCCGTGTTCATAATGAAGCGAAATTGCTCGTGGAGAATCTGTCAATAATATATTGCATTGTGTTAAATCACGAAAACAAAAAAAATATCCACAAAATTAATTTGATTAATACCTAATCCAGTCCAAATTAAAAGTTTTCTATTACTTCCATCTAATTCTGCAACTTCAATGCTATTTCGGCCCCCATCAGTCCAGTAAATCTGCGAAATAATCATATTCATATATTAAAGCAAGATGGTTTTAGTGAAGCTTTTATCGAACTGTTAATTTTTTAATTTTATTTAACAAACCTTTCGTCCAGCAGAGTCAATAGCGATACCATCACATGTATGCACACCGTGATCAAAAATGGTTTCGATATTTTCACCATGTTTATTAGAACGCTGTATTTTTCTTTCGCCAGTGTCACTCCAATAAATCAAACCTTAAATAAATTTCATTATTAGAACGAGAAATAAATATCAATTGTGCAATTTTCTAAAAGTACATTCTAAAAGTTTTGCTTTGAAAACTCAAGACGTAAATATATTTCCGAAACCGAAAACTAAAAATAAAAATTATTTTAAGTTTTTAGTATATCATTTATTGAAGGACAAATAAATTTTTAAGAAAGTAATATGAACATTAAACGTGAACACTTAACTTAACTAAACTGATGAAACTTAGTACTGTTACTTAGCTTAATAATTCGAACGTACTTGCACGTAAGTCAGAATAGTTAATAGTTACACAAGTTAAAAAATTGCATCTACATAAATAATATACATACTTAGGACGCGAGGACGACGCGGCGCGAATACTTATAAATTATACTCGTACTAAAATTATTAATAGATAACTGCATTCATTTTTATTTTTATAAAACTAAAATCTAACCTGTTCTTTGATCGACGTCAACACCTAAAGCATTTTTCAGCGGAGGCAATGGCATAACAACATCGACAAGATACGGGACATCCAAAGACACTACCCGTATGTCGATGCGGTGTGCAAATATCAAATAGTTTTTCGGACCATCTGGACATGTTCTTCCATCCTGCTGCAGAACGTTAAAGCAACCAGTTTAGTAAAAATTTTGATGTGAGAAAATGTAAACATTAATATTTATTACAAGCATAAACAGTCGTAAACATCATACAGATACACCTCCAAAAACTTTCCAAACATTCAATATCATCGTTGCAGCCCATCAAAGCCATCTCCGCAAAGGCCTCTTACGATAGCAAGGTTCTAAGCCACGTGAATTTTCTACTCCCTGCACATCTTATCTGTTTTATCATATTAGAGTGGGATCGTAGATTGATCTAACCTTGAAATTGCACCATCAAACAACATACTAGACAATAACTCCGCATATATTACTTGCTGCTGTGCTGTTTTCGAGAGTCATTACGAATAGTCTCTCACGCAGACTTGACGACTTCCAGCCTCCCGAACAAGTCGGTTTCTGAAAAGGCTTTAGTACCATAGACCACCTATCACACCCTTCGGCAAATTGTACAGATGACAGAGGAGTATAATCTGCCACTTTGCCTTACGTATGTGGACTATGAGAAAGCCTTTGATTCCGTCGAAATTTGGGCAGTGCTGCAGTCCCTTCAGCGGTGCCAAGTTGACTGTCGGTATATCGAAGTGCTGAAGTGTTTGTACAGTAGGGCTACGATGGTTATCCGAGTACAGAATCAGAGTACGAAACCTATCCAATTGCAGAGAGGTGTAACACAGGGTGACGTTATATCCCCGAAACTCTTCACCGCTGCATGTGAAGACGTTTTCAAGCTACTGGAGTGGAAAGGATGCGGTATTAACATCAATGGTGAGTACATCACGCACCTTCTATTTACCGACGATATAGTCCTTATAGCAGAATCACTGGAGGACCTAAACCTAAACACTATGCTCAATGACCTCAATAGTGTCTCTCAACGGATAGGTCTTAAGATGAACATGGACAAAACAAAGATCATGTTCAATGTCCATGTCACACCTATGCCGGTAGTTGTTGGGAGCACTAAGCTCGAAGTTTTTGACGAGTATGTTTACCTGGGACAAATAGTCCGACTAGGTAAGTCCAACTTCGACCGAGAGGTCAATCGACGGATTCAACTCGGCTGGGCAGCGTTCGGGAAACTACGACACATCTTCTCGTCAGACATTCCTCAAAACTTGAAAACGAAATTGTACAACCAGTACGTGTTGCCAGTGATGACTTACAGATCTGAGACGTGGTCCTTCACTGCTGGCCGTATGAGGAAGCTCAAGGTCGCTCAGCGAGCTATGGAGAGGGCTATGCTCGGGGTTTCTCTGCGTGATTAACTTAGAAATGAGGATATCCGCAGTAGAAACAGAGTAACCCACATAGCCCGGCGACTAGAAGAACCGATAACCGATGGGGAAGAAAGGTTCTCGAGTGGCAGCCTTGTACTGGTAGGCGAAGTGTAGGGCGACACCCCACTAAATGGAGTGAAGACCTGGTAAGACATGCAGGAAGTCGATGGATGCAGGTGGCTCAGGACCGTGCTTTGTGGCATTCCTTGGGGGAGGCCTATGTTCAGCAGTGGACTTATGAAAGATTGTAATGACGATGATGATGATGGTATAAATGTGATGCTGTTCGCTCGGTAGTTGTCAATATCACCTTTCCAGTCTAGTATCTTAATAATATCTACCAAAGCAGTCGTACGTTGCCCTGTTATTTTAAAAGTCTAGTTTCTACAAATGATTCGGTTTTTTTAATTCTGGTTATGTATACGTAAAAGCAACTTAACCTTCTGTACGAAAAATCTGATACCGCAGAAGAGATTGTAGCATCGTCTTAATTTCGACGGAATCAAAGGCTTTATCATAGTCATATTCTCTCAGCTACTTTTGTGTAAAGTATTAACAGATAGCACTTGTAAGATAAACTTTTAAAAATAATAAGCTGAGAGATACTTTGTACTCGACTGTCTCTGAAGGAGGCTGATTTGCCTTGATTATGCATATTTTTATAGGACAAGGGTCAAGCGAGCACACAGTCCACCTGATGGTAAGTGTTTGCCGTCGCCCATTGAGATCTACATCTATCCTCGTTTCCGGATGAAAATGGAGATGCGTTGTCAGCCGTGAGGACTAAGATGGAATGCCATTTTTCCATTTCTTCGGTTCTCTATACTCACCATACGAAACACAGCAGGGTTAAGCTGCTATTTTACGCTGGTATTCTGTGAGAGCGTGGTCCTTCCCCGGTCGAGCCAACCCATTCGTGCTACAACTATACAATTAATATAGCTGCAGCATGGCTCTACCACGAAAAAACGTACTCGAAACTCATTAACCTGATTGAAAATCCGTCGATCCATTTATGTTACTGAATAACATAGGCTTGACGGATTTTCAAATGCAAGGTATCACTAGTTTCATCTTCATCACCTGAGTGTCAATTGGTTCTAATTTCTAGTAATAATCAAACATGATAAAATATCATAACATAACATAATAATATTTGTTTGACGAACGTTTTTATTTTATGATTAAAAAATATATCACTATAGTTAAGATTTTTTGTTATAAATAATAATTTGCTTGTTTATTTCTTAATTCAGATATTGATCTACTTACATTTAGTTTTATTCCTGTAGGACACGCACAAGTTCGTCCCCTAGGTTTCAGTAGACAGAGATGGGAACACCCGCCGTTGTTTTTATTACACCTGAATAAAACACGTTGTAAAATGTATGATGTCTTAATCTCATATTAAAGCACTTTTCTAGTAGTTTTAATTATGCTCCCGACTTACCGATTAGCCACAGCTTTTCTTTCATTATGAAACACCCTCACGTCCATCAAACCTTCGACACCAGCTCCTAAGGTGCGTCGATTTTTACCAGTATACTTATTAGCTGCTTGAATTGATTTCGTTTCCCAATCCGTCCACAGAACTTCGTCACCATACAAATCCAAACCAAATGGATGTGGAAGATGTTGAGCTATAAAAATAAAAATATTAAACTGGATGCCTTAAAACCTCTTTCGTAAGTTGCCTTTTTATTTAATAAAGTTGACTAAGAAATTTTGTTTTACTACATTATATACACACCGGCACAATTAGCGGAACAGAAAAAAAAGTGAGACTATGAGATAATAACGCATATATTTGACGAAAATGTAATTAGACACAAAATAACAAATTGACTAACATCTTTTAACAACGACTTTGAAAAGTCTTCGTTATTTTTTATTGAAAAATAAAGAAATTTGAAATAAGTGAAATTTTTAGATGATTATGAACCATCACAAAAAATAAAAAAAGTAAGCATTAAATGATTTAACAATAAAATTAAAGCAAAATTAATAACGAGTGTTTCCCCCTCTTGCTCTGATTACGGTTTCCATTCGTCTGGGCATGCGACATATTATGTTATCGATGATTTCTTGAGGCAACCGCTCCCACTCCTCAAGTAATGCGTTTCCAAGTTCATTCAGATTGTTGGGGGGTGGCATTCTGGATTTAACCCTTCTTTTTAGCAAGTCCCAGACATGCTCTATCGGATTCATATCGGGGGAATTTGCTGGCCACTGCATCACCGGTATACCTACGTGGCTCAGATATGCCTGTACCGATTGTGCACTATGAGCACGAGCATTATCTTGCATTAGAATAAAGTCGTCACCAATAAATGGGGCAAATGGTACAACATATTCTTCTAAAATGTCTCTGATGTATCGATCTGCTGTCATGGTCCCTCCTGTGACTATCACTAACTCCGTGCGAGCTCCCAAACATATCCCTCCCCAAACCTCCCCAAACCATAAACATCGAGCCGCCACCATAAGCCACTGTGTGTTCAAAATTAGACTGTATGTGGCGTTCTCCTTTGCGTCTCCATATTCGCTGTCTCCCATCGATCTGTTTTAAAAGAACTCTGCACTCATCAGTAAAGAGAACCTGCTGCCATTCGTTCAAAACTCAATGACGATGTTCTCGCGCATAGCTTAATCGGTTTACGCGGTGACGTCTCTCAAGTTTTGGACCTTTGGCAGGCAGACGACCCTAAACCAACTTCTTTAAATCTCCTGCGAACTGTACGCTCACTTACTCGTACTCCTCGAACGTCTTTCAGTTCATTTCGAGCTTGTACAGCCGTTAATCGCGTATTCCTACGAACTCCAAGTTGTAAAAAACTGTCATCTCGCCTCGATGTATATCTTTTTCTACCTTGACCCCTCCTCCTCACAAGAGAATTAGACGATCTGTACCGCTGGATGCTGCGATGAATCGTTGATACTGGTCGACGAAGCCTTGAGGCAATCGATCTGTAGGTATGGCCATTTCTTCTCATTTCATCAGCCCTAATGATTTCCAGTGATGTTAAGTCAGGCATAATAAAGAGCTTTTAATAAACAAAATTGCCTATAGAATAAAAAATTTATAAAAAACCATTAAGTGCAATTTTTCAAAAAAATTACAATTACGTAGTTATTACTCGAACAAGTAGGCAAAACGTATTGTTCGGGAAAATAAAACAAATGAATGAAAAAAGTGTATGTCATCTAATTTTCTATTTTCAAATTTGACAATAAATTAAAAAAATATCATAACTGGCCAGTTCCTCAAGTAAAAGATTTGAAAATCCTGCTTTTTTTGTGTTCCGCTAATTGTGCCGGTGTGTATAGTAGCGTCCTGGGGAAATAAAAACTAAGAGAATCACAGGAAACTCCGAAATACGTACAGTAACGTATCTAATACAATTATAGAACAAGTTTAATGTTCTATTACCTATTAATATAGTCCGACCGGTTCCATCAAGATTTGCAAATTCTATAGTTCGGTTTCCTCCGTCGGTCCAGTAAATGCGATTGTTTTCAAGATCTAGCGCTAATCCGTTCGGCCATATCATGTCGCCGAATAAAAGTTTTTTTCTATTACCACCATCCATATCAGCGCGTTCTATACATGGGGTAGAACCCCAGTCAGACCAATACATAACGCCTCCTGTAGACAATTAAGTTATATGTAAATTATTTTAATAAGGATCTTCTTTTATTAAATTTGGCTTAAATATCAGCGTTACTATATTTTGTAAATAATACAAAATTTCCTAAAGAAATATACTTGTGTTAAGTGTTAATAGTATAGCTTGATATGAAAATTACAAAAACCCTACGAGTCTAGCTAAAATCTTGATTTCATCTTTGGTTAAAAACAGAAACAAAAATTTCAAAATGTGGGTATTACCTTTAGGATCTAAAACAATGTCTCTCGGCTTATCGATATTCTGCCAGGCTAGAAGTCCTCTCATAGTACCGTCGGCATTTGCAACTTCAATTCTATTAGTTCCAGCATCAGTCCAATATATTTTATCAGTCATCCAATCATATGCTAAGCCAGCGGGTGATACTAGGGAAAGAAGAAATTATTATAACATTATAATTCGTTACAATTCTATTATTTCGGTTATATCTTTTCTATATTATTTACAACGATGACTTAGATCAAATAATGGAGTTAGGTATGTAGTAAAGTGGACATAAAGAAAATGAGTGTTATTTTAGATGTTTCAATCATGATGTACTAAATTAGTTGTTCATAAACAATGTTGAATTACATTTTAAACTGTTGGGCTATCGAAAATAGTTGAAATTAATAATGTTTTTAAATGCTATTATAAGGCATTGAATAGAATTTAAAGAACTCTTACTGAGGTTTGAGGTAACAAGAACTGTTTGATTAGATCCATTAAGAAATGCGCGATTAATTGTGTCTTTCTCAACATCCGTCCAGAAAATTGAATTTGTATTGTGATCCCAGTCTAAAGCAACGGCAGATTTAATGTTTTCTACTGGAATAACCTGTAAATAAAAACATGTTCATTATTCATTGCCTTTACTACATTTTTTTTGAAATAATTTGAATTTAATTTATTTTGTAAATAACATACCGTATCCAAAGAGTCTATTTGTTTTCGAGGATATAATTGCTTAAGTCTTATGTCTTTTCTGCGAGCATATAAAAGGAGTTTCTCTGGTGTCTCTTCACAGGTTCGGCTAAGAATAAAAATAATAGTCATTTACATTTTTTTATTATCATTTTGAAATAAAAAAAAATTGCTTCACATAAAATGGTTTTATCTCAAAATTACCCATTAGCATTCAAGTTGAATCCAGCTGGACACCGGCAAGAATAATTGTCGCTGTTTGGAAGACAGAGATGTGAGCACCCGCCGTTGTTATCACCACATCGATTTCTATAAGTTTGGATTTGTCGCGTGGGGTGGTAACTAAAAGAATGAATACATTTATTAGAGCAGAGAATATATCATAACACCGAGTATAAAAGAAATCAACAAAGTTCCACATACTCGTAGATGTTTAACGGACGACCTCTGGCGACCGTCAAATAGCTGACAAATTGTACAAATGTCGTAGAATGCCGAACATTTTAAACGTGGTAGAACTACGCTGCAGCTGTATTATAATTACTGCATGAATGAGTTTGCTCGATTGGAGAAGTATCATATATTTCAGAATACCAGCGTAAAATAGCAGCTCAATGTCTCTGTGTTTCGTATAGTGAGTACGGTGAATGAACCGGAGACCCTTATTAGTGATAACGAGACATTCTATCTTAGTCATCAAAGGTGACAATGCATCTGCAGTTTTATTCTTTGTCAAGAATTGATACAGGTGCCTGTGGGCTTAGCATCCACTTACCATTAGATGGACTGTGTCCTGGTTTGCCACCCTTATTCTATAAAAAAAACCACAAACAAACTATTGATGGGAAGTAGCATTACCAAAATGAGGAGTTGTTGATTCTTTGTTCGTCAATCAGCCTCCATATCATAATATGTTTGATAGCGTATTTAAGGATTTTGATTTTCCCTTTATGATTCCCATGAACGAAATGTTGGGTTGAGAGTAGCTATTTAATGATTCTCACCTGTGTATATCCATTGGAACATTGAGACTCGCGTGGACCGTCTGTATTCCCATTCCAGTATTTTTATTCACAGTTGATATGCTCTTTGTGTGCCAATCCGTCCAATAAATAGCGTCTTCAAATAACGTTAACGCAAACGGATGAGGCAGACCTTTATTTGTGACCTGAAATATAAGTTTACGGTTAGTTAGAAATTAAACTGTTAATTACGTAGATTTGTTGTTCGGTTTTAATATTATGATTATGATATCAATACCCTTTTTCTATCTCGACCATCAAAATAAGCTTTCTCAATAACATGATGTTTAGCGTCAGCCCAGTATATTCTCGATTCGATATAATCTATTGTGAGTCCGTTAGGCCAAAATATCTGATCCACGATAACAGTTTTTCTTCTATTGCCGTCCATGTCAGCTCTCTCTATCTTGGGATTGGGTCCTGTTAACATTTATTTAATATAATGTAAATGCCATTTAAAAGTGGAAGTTAAGTAAGCAGTAAAATTATACTGGCAAAACAAAGGAACCAGCTTCTGAAATTTAAGCGGACACAAGTGGTAAAATATTTTTTATTTTAAAACCGATTTCAATATAAAACTTTGACAGAAATAAGGGTGTACCGTGCTATACTGAACACATCTGCGTACACCAGTGTAGCGGGTACAGACGAGACGAAGGTTTCGTATCGTGCGCGATCAGCGCGAGCCTGTACGACCGCCGTTCAACGGTCAGCTCAGAAATCGCACGGACAAGGGGAATCCGACTGTCTAATTAAAACAAAGCACTGCGATGGCCCTAGCAACAGGCCGGGGTTCGATCTCATCGAAATGAGAGGAAACCTGGGACCAGCCGTGGGAGGTATATAAGCTGTAATATTTTTACTTTAAACATGTACCTTATCAGCAGTGCAAATTATTAAGCGGATTTTCCTTTGTATAATGTATTAAGCTTACCCCAGTCAGTCCAAAACACCAAAGCATCGCCTGGGTGCACAGCAATAGCTCTCGGTTTGTCTAGATCATTCGCTGCCAATACGGCCCTTTTACTTCCGTCGAGTGTTGCCACTTCAACTCTTCTGGTTCCCGAGTCCGTCCAAAACAGCAAATCATGTATCCAGTCCACTGCCACCCCAGCAGGCGTTTCTAGTCCCCATTTTATAACATCTGGAAAAGGTATATTTTTAAGTAAATCAAATTAAGCACATTTTGTAACTAGTTATCATTTGAAAATTGTAAAATTGACTTGTTTTCTACATTATCGTAGGACTCGAATATGTTTTTCATTCTAAATATGTTGTTTTTTTTTCTCTGAATATGTATGTTGTTGGCCCTGCGGCCTCTTCTCGTAAGCTAGGTCCTAAGAGCTATTGAGTGCGCCGATTTTGCCGGCGGCGACTACAGTCCCGAAACACCCCAGCCCCTGCAATTGCAGTGACGCTCCTCAAGTTAGGGGGAGGGGGGGGGACTCGATGTGTTTCCAGGGCCCCTCAGAAAGAGGTACGAACCTCGGCAAGAAACACTATCGGAAAAAGGCTAAACGTGTCGTAAGCTAAAAATTTTGTTGTTGTGCCCTAGTGTTTTAAACTATGTTTGAATGCGTGTGTGTGCTATGTTTGTATGTGTGTATAAATATGGTGCTATTTTATGGTACGTATATATAAATGTATGTTAACTCTCATGAAAAAAATCCCCGATCTTATAGCATAAACTTTTATAATCAACAAACCATCGAAAACCCTGATCCTCTATTTTTTCCTCTTTAAGAGTGGAATTTTTTCCCAAATTAATATGGGACGAATTCTGAAGTACTATTTAGTAAAAAAATCATTTTTTTTTTTTTACTAAATATTATTTAATTTATAATTGATTAAGATATCACGTAACATACATAGAAATAAAAATACTATCAAATTGAGAATCTACTGCTTTTCCGAGGTCGGCTAAAATAAGTTGAAATAACATGTAATCTTTATAATTATGTACTTCTTCTATTAATAGTGAGAGTTATATATTTACACTATTTGTTCGATTGTAGTAATATACATGTATTGTTAATGACTTCCGATTATGCTGGGATCGGAATCGGACAGATGAAACATCATATTATTATATTTTACGTATGGCTAAAAATAACTAAAATATAACCTAGCTAAATATATAAATAATTCGTAATCTATATAAAATTACCTTTCATAGTGTTGTTAGTCAATTCGACGACCCTTATAACTCTCATGTTGTTTTCCGTCCAAAATATGAGATTATTTTCATAGTGATAATCCAGCGCGACTGCGTTGTGGAGGCCTTTTAGTACCGGCATATAATTTTCACCAGTTAGCCATACCTGATTGGGATAAATAATCATTGAAATTAAAATTAGGTAATAAAGATATATAAGACATATAACAACCAAATTTAGAGCTTTCTTTGGTCAACGTCTTAGTGAGCTTGCTTATGTATAGGTATTCTAAGGTCATAGTATTCGGTTATTAAGTCGTAGCTCCAGAGTTCGAAGAAACATGTTTTCAAGGCTAGATAAGATATGTCTTGATCGTATCTGACTAAAACACGGACGTTACAACGAAAATAGTAAAGACGAAAGTCCCTTTATTTGAAACAGATTAAGAAAGAGGTGAAACAATAGGTATTACTATGCATTTGTATTGTTCATTTTAAGAAATAACACCAATCGCTAAGACCGTTACTTAGGTCGTATAGTATAGGAACGACACCCACGCTTTGGTTCCATTAACATATTATTAAACAGGTACTTAGAAAGAGGCGATTGCCCGAGCGATTCACGACGTTCGATCGAATCACAGTTCTGGTTCGAGTTTAAGGTTTATTGGAACGAAGATCATTATCGGACGGTACAGGTTTAGCGAATGGGAGCTAGGTGACAAAAAGTGTAAGCTTTTTTCATCACTACCCCCTGTGTCATAGTGTAGACGGCCTTGGCGGCGAAATAAGGAAGTGAGTTGGAATAATATCCATCTCCTTCGCACTTTTTTATCTTTCCATGAAAGATATATTATTTTATTTCAAACTAGCTGTTCTCCGCGACTTCGCCCGTGTGTAATTTAGGGTTTTAATTTTGTTGCGTGGAACCCTAATTATTTTTCTATAATATAAGTAGCCTAAGTTACTCCTTATAATATAAGCTATCTACCAGTGAAATTCCCGTCAAAAGTCCAGCCGTTCCGAAGATTAGCCGGAACAAACAAACAGACAGACAGACAAACATTTTAAAAATTGTGTTTTTGTTATAAGTACCGTATATTGTTTCATATGCATTTATTAAAAAGCTGTTATTTTGACATTACAAACAGACACTTCAATTTTATTTATTTGTATAGATGATGCTTCATTTTAATAGACGCTAGTAGTTATAATAGGGTAAAACACCCAGTAGTCAGCCCCGCACCAGTACTCAGCCTTTACAGACATTATTTCCATATAAATAGTGTTGAAATTTGTTTACACCATTAAAATAATGTTTAATTGAATCTGTGTCTCCTTATTGACTAATACGCACACTTATGAACCAATAGCATGTCAGGTTCACGAGCTACGCTCGTTAATTTGCACTGCTGCCAAAGACATGACTAGATGCGTCGCTGTTGCAATTTTTTTCTTAAGGAAACCTGCTCGAGTTATTGGTAAGTTTTTGAGTGTATTTGCTGTAATTTGTGGCAGATTGTTATACTGTGTCACAATAAAATGTCTGTTTTGTAATAAAATTAACTATTACATGCATTTTAATAGTTAAATATGTTGTAATTTAGGTGGCCGACTTTTGGGTTTCGAATTTTTAAGGTAGATCCAGTACCTACCTACGCTTATCAATAATAATATAACTACTACGCAAGGAACTTCGTTCCAACCGAGTGTTTACACTCACGCATTTTTATTTTGCTTGTGAAATAATTTTTTAAGTGGTATTTTTTATCTCAAATATTGCATGTATTATAATGTCGTAAAATAATTACACTCGTATGTATTTCATCACTCTTAGCCACTTGTTCGCTTTCTCTTCTAAAACACGGATTTCTGTAATAAATTGGCATTAGGAAGAAGGTGAACGAGTGACTTTTCATGTTTTCGCTAATACTTATGACACTACACTATTAATATTATCCTCAGCTATAGACAACTTCTGTTACATAGGTCATAATATCCAAATCATTTACGAATAGATTTTAAACTATATATGTATAATATAGACGTATAACATAGGCATATAACTCTATATAATACAGGCATTATTTATAATGAAATAAACGTGATGCATACCTGTCTAATGCCAACGCGATTGGAAAATAATAGTGTAGGTGATTCCCCTAATGGCTTACAAGATCTTCGATCTGGTCTGAGAACATATCCAGTCATACAACCGCATTGGAAGCTGCCGGGAGTGTTGGAACATGTTTGAGAGCACACTGGGTCCTGCTCGTACATACATTCGTCGATGTCGCGGCAACTGAAAATATCCTTACTGTTTCAATATCTTAATGTATTTACATTTGCATTGTATTTTTATTTCATTCGTGCAGCGTGCCGCATGCAGGTGGAGTTTGTAATTTAAATAACTAGTAGTTCTTTAAATACCAACAATAAAAAAATATTAAACTCCATGTTCAGCAGGCAATTAATGGTGATCTCGGTACCAGAAGTTGTGTTTAAATATCATCATCATCATTATCAATATTACAGTCTATCACAAGACCGCTGCTGAACATAAGTCTTCCTCAAAAAATGTCACAACGCACGGTCCTGAGGCATTTGCAACCATCGACTTCCTGTATCTCTTACCAGGTCGTCACCGCACCTAGTGAGGGACATGGAGTTCTTAAATACGTACGGTAGTGTTTAAGAGATTACCTATAACCATTATCAGCCAACAAGTATCCCAGTGAACATGAGCAAGCCGGACGCCCATCATACGTTGTAATGCATTGCCTCTCGCATTTATCCTCAGCTGAACATGTTCTTTCCTTTGGGCAGTTCTCTTCATCGTCTCCCCTAGGACAGTCCTTCATGCCATCACAAACGTGCTTCCTATTCACGCAGTTCCTGAACGCGGAGTTGTATAGAGATTTGCACATGTACTGATCCTCCTCACAGGTTACTTCGCAGTTTGTTTCATCCTCGCCGTTTGTGCAGTCCCGTACTCCGTCACACATCCATGTTTTCTGTAGGAAGATATATACTTTACGGCTTAAAGCCGAACTCGAGAGAATGAATGAAGAACGATTGACGAAAAAGGTGTATAAGGCGAGTGTGAATGACAGTGTCGGAAGAGGTAGACCTAGGCGGACGTTTCTAGACCAAATCAGTGACGTCTCGAAAAAAGGCCTGGTCAAGAGTACCCTAAACCGAAGAGCATGTATGAAGGGAATAATGAAAGTGGACGAAGCGAAACAAGTATGTAAGGATCGTGCAAGTGGAAAGAAGTGGTCTCTGCCTACCCCTACGGGAAAGAGGCGTGATTATATGTATGTATGTATGTAAAGCCGAAGTGCGGACGCACATAGGTTTAGCCGGCTACAACTAAGCCGAAGCTGCAGCCAAATGTGGTTCATTCAACTTAGATGTATTCGATTTGTCCGCATTAAATATCAGCGGCCTAGACGTTGCCTATCAGCTTAATAGAAGTCAGAGTCATTTTAATTATTATACTTGCAACCGGTCACACCTAGTTTTAGCCATAAATTTTCTCCTGTATTGTGGATTGTGGAAACATTTTAGACACATAAATTGTACATGGACGAAAATAAAACACAATATAGGAAATACAAATACTTGTATAGCAGCGGTAGCACCACAACAAAACGCGTAGGTACCTCTATACCACTGCGCTACCGAGCTGATTAAATTATAAAATATAATCCACTTTAAATGCCCTTATTACTAAAGCAGTTCTAAATAGAAGACTAATGCATCAAATTGACTATAATTAACACATTCACTGTCCGGTTTTCAGACACATTAGCATAGAGTAAATAATAGTACTACGTAACAATAATAAGACAATACCAATGATCTATATGTAGTGCACGGTACAGCGAAAGAGTTAACTTACCAAAATGCAACGTCGGTCGGCACAGGTGTGTTCATCGGAGGTGCAGTTCCTCATTCCGTACGGTTCACAGTTTAATTCATCGTCTCCATCGGCACAATCCCTTTCTGCATCACATCGCCAACGATCGGGAATACATTTACCGTCGCTACACCTTTAAATGAAAACAAATTTCTTAGTCCGTTATTATTTATTGTTGTGAGGTTGATATTTTCCGAAAAAGTTGCCACATTTATCCTTTAAAATATAGTTTTATCTCTGTCTATTTTTATTTCTAATATTATTGTCTGCTCCAATTTCAACTTACTTGAATTCTCCAGCATTGCAACTGCCAGGTAGAATAGGGCAAGAGTCTTCATCGGTCCAATCGCCGCAGTCATTGTCGCCGTCGCACTGGAAGTCCTTCCTCACGCACTTCTTGTTATTGCACTGTATCTCATTTTCGCTGCACTGCAGGAAGTCTAGTGCTGTTGTGATATAAAATCAATTTGGTTATCATTTGGCCTCGAGAAGTTTCTTACATTTAATATATTGTCATTATTACTTTAAATACAATTAAACAAATAAATAATAACTGAGATGACTACACATTTATTTCATTTTCTGTTGAGATTATCGGTCCGTGGGGTCCATGTGGAGTGAAGTTCCTAAAGGAAATCTATCCGCGACTAGTCGTTGCTGCTGGTGATAAGAGGGCTGATTCTTTTCTCGCTCAAAGGCTAACTATAGCCATTCAGCGGGGAAACGCAGCCAGCGTTCTTGGCACGATACCACGGGAAGTAAGACTGTATGATAATTAAGTTATTAAATAAATATAGGTCGCCTAGTGGTCGAAACTCATTAAATATTTAAGTTTGTTATATTAAGCAAGAGTATTCCACTTTCATATGCAGATTAATCTGTCTGTAATTATTTGTTGACAACATTAAAATCATTTGTTGACAATATGATCTTTCAAGGCTTTAGGAAAAAGTATCAATCACTACCTTTTAGACCTAAAGGCTGATTTACACGTATTAAGTAGTCAAATAATTTAACTAAATTTGAAATTTTACATGTTATTAACACTAAACTCTTTAGTTAGTCCAATATGGATGAGCATTTCTGTTATTAATTCTGTGATTTATTAATAATTAAGTGATGAGATTTCGTGCGAAATGAGGGATGAAATAGGCAGAGAAGTGAAAATACTTAAAAACTAGGGGCGAGAACATGAATATGGCTCAAGTGGATTTTCTACCGACTTCGAAAAAGGAGGAGGACTCAATTCGATTGTATGATTTTTTATGTGTGTTATCTCATAACTTTGTTCTACGTGAACCGATTTCGATTATTCTTTTTTTATTCCAAAGCTGGTGCTTTTCATGTGGTCCCATATAAATTTGATCAAGGTCTAACCAATAGTTTTTGAGTTATCCTTAATAATATATAATGAAGTCGGTTGTAGAAAATTTTAAATTTTAAATTATGTTTCATAAATTAGCAGGCGAAGATAAATATTAGAGTATTTATATCCAATACGGATGTAAGAAGAATACCGACATCACTTGTAGTCTAAAGTTAAACATAAGATACTGATTATGTGCACTAGAATCACTCGCTACTGGAAATATTTTTTTTCTTGTAGCGTGTCCTTGAACAAACTATACTATTATAATCATAGTATGTATCTTTTGCTCACACGTGACGCTCCCCCAAAGTTATGCATTTCCCTAAATCGTGTATGTTCTAATATGTCTTACTTACTAACTTACCCAAAAAATAGAAATAATTCTATTCTACTTGTTTACTTGCACAGTAAACTTTATATGTATTATATCACGTAAAAAATTAAAATTTACTTAATTACTTAACTACTTAATACGTTTAAATCAGCCATAAGAGTAATAAGTAATAACATACATATTATGCTTGTATTTACTGTGAGACAATGGCAGTATGAACATAAGTAATGTATGTTTTATTTTATTTTATTTAATGTATTTTTTCTGCACTTTTCTCCATATAAATGGAAATGTATGTATAATACACATTACTGTTATATATATAATCGTAATGAAACATTATAAGAATTGCATTATTACGGCAATCGGCTTCGTCAGAGTTGTCAGGACAGTCGGGTTCTTTGTCGCAACGCCAGTGTTTAGCGAGGCACTCGCCCGTAGCACACCTGAACTGCTTCTCACCGCATCTGAATCAAATGTTTAATTTGAAATGTTAAGAAAGTTAAAGTTAAAGTATATAATAATAATAATCTTTATATATATTACAGCCTATATACGTCCCATAGCTAGGAAAACATCGTGAAGAAAACCTGCATGTCTAAGAAATAAGAAAAAAATATTTCGAAGATATGTGAAGTTCGCCAACACGCACTGGGGCAGCGCGGCGGACATTTCCTTACCCTAATACCCTCTCAGAAATGAAACGAGGCCTGTGCCCAGCAGTGGGACGTAAATAGGCTGCAACTTTAAATAATTAATTAATAGTGTGAGCATTTGCGGATTTAAATTGAGCATTTTGTGAGCAATTTTGAGCACTTATTAATTAATCCGAGCGGTTATACTTTCAAGCCAACTTTTATATGGTGGGGATATCTGAGTAGTTAAAAAAAATCGTGGATACCTGAAAACCGCTAATAAGCATTGAAGCATTGGGATAGACACTTTCTTGCCCACAAAACGCTATAAGTAATGAGGAGCCCTGAGATTACATGAGACGTATTTAAGCTACCACTTTACTTTTTTACTTTTACTCTTATAGTCACGTGTTCCTGTAGAATGCAGCATATTATATCTATACCAAATTTTTAAAATTATCTACGTTATAGTCTTCGAGAACTCAAAAAAAAATCTGTGACCAAGAGACACTGAGGTGATTCTACAACTGATCCAATTTTGCTAATTTTAGCATGGAGCAGAATTAGTAATGTATTTAATTGAAAGAATATAATATGTAATAATAAAAGTGGAAAAACGTGAGCGAACACGCTGGTAAAAAGCTAATTTATATAATGTAACACACGAGTTTTTAATTTTAGCATGTGTAGAACGTGAACGGTACGTTAACATTTTACATCGATCAAGTTGGTTTCAAATCGAAAGTATTGTACAGGACATTATGCATATAATATAAGCGTTATTGCGCAAAATAATAAAACATTAAGCCTAAGTCGTTTATTTTCTATGGAAGAATGTAATTCACAGCTGAACCTTCACCTTTCTAGAAACGCGCCAACTGACAAGCATAACTTAGAATAGATACGATTTTAAATATAACCAAATATCCGAGCCACATATCCTACATTTTCGTAAGCTGACTCCAGATCTCACTGCAAAATTGTTTTATCAGGCAAGGGTACGTTTATAAGATTGTATGCCTTGTGTAATATGTAATATACTTGAAACTTTTAGATCTAATATCCGACCTGTGTACTGGATTGTTCTAATACAAAAATGTACTTAGGTATTAAGTTATTAAAAATGTTACCTCCACAGTAGGATTTCCTCCTATATTTTTACAGGGACACCTAATCTATAAATGGAACAATTTATTTGTAGGCCATATAAACCGAATGAGTTATAAAACCTAATATAAACACTTGTTTTGTATAGGATTTAAACCAGCGGCCTTACAAAATGAAGCCCACTAAAGGCAACTAGGCTTTCCAGCGAACAACATTCGTAGTACGTACAAGCCACCAACGGAAGAGTGATACAACGCGGTAGTTTCACGCGGCTCCGATTTGCGCGTGGGCGGGTTTCTATGGCACTTGCTCACCCCGGATACCCTAATATGTCCCCAACCGCCCCCTTTTCTCTATCCCTCCACCCCATTTTATGCGCCCCTTAACTCCGCTCATATCGATCTCCCAGTTAGCACAAACTCAGCGAGTGGAAAAAGCTGGTCAAGATAGCTTCGTCGTATGCAATTTTTATTTTTAGAAACTTATTTTTATAATAAACTTAATCAATTAATTAAAAAGTGTACTTATTTATAACTATATATATTATCTCATTGTATATTTACTATTAATAGACAATCAAATCTATTAATGATATATAATTTTACTTGTGTAAATAATCAACAGGTGTAAGGTTTTTACGTGGTAAGGCGATGCAATCAGAAGGACCACCCTCTCAAAGATACCAGCGTAAAATATCACCTCAATGCTGCTGTGTAGGATGAGGTATTTTTATTTTGCAGTGTAGGTAAATAAATCATAAAAAAATAAAAATATAACTATACTATATAATATAATTTATAAATAACGGGACAAAGATATCAGCCGCCTTAAACTTCTGGATATCTGTACATGTGTCTTTCTCACCTACAAAACGATTTTTATAGTTATATTTCCTCCTTTGCACCGTTATCCAACCGTTTTTGATTCACATTCGTTCCATTTACCTTGAATGACCATCTCTGCCATAGTAGCAGGCTTATTTCCAGATAAAAATAATGCATCATCTTCCTTCAATAGTTGCGTTTCTTGTTTTACTGCAGAACTCCTATCTGCACGTGTAGTTGTATCAGTTAATACACCTTGTGAGGCCCGCACGACGGTTTCATTCATCGGTGAAATCGTGGTGGCAATAAACTTACGTTTTGTAGTATTTTTGCCATTTCTCATCTAAGTAAACATGAATACGGCCCCTTATCATGAATGAGTTCAATCACCGGGTTATTCGATGGAACTGCAGTGGCCTCCTCAAAAGATAAGGGGGTATAATTAGCCTGTTTTTTCGCCGACATAACCGTGGTACAGATTTCCATTCTCACTGGCTGTGATGAAGATGGCATATCTTCAATACTAGCTTTATCGTATGATCGCATTAAACAGACAGAAGCGGGTCAGTGTAATGTCTTTCCGTCAACGTTGCGAGCGAGTTATGAATACACGTACGAGTCAATAAAATGTTACTGACTTTAGGATTACAGTAGGAATTCTCAACGGTCGTTAATTCGTCGATAGGTTGCTACTTCAGAGAACTAACATACAACTGCATACCGTATATACGTAATGGTACTGGCTCTCTGTATCATTTAGACCAGGATACAACAGTGCAGTAAGTGCTGTTTTTGGCAGAAATAAGTAAGAGGATGGTATAGAAAAGGACCCTACCAGTACTACCAAGTAAATGCGCACTCTTTAAAAATAAAAAAGAATCAGAAATACCATTGAAAAAAAGTATAGGTAGCATTCTTGTCACTATATTCATATATTAAAGTTGAATTCAATTAGGTTTATTTAAAAAACAGCACCGCGTGAGATCGTAATAGTATTGTGAATTATTGATTCAGTTGAGCGCAAATTAACGCGTCACACAAATGAACTGACGGGGTTGTAGATATAGACGGAAGGGAAAGCAAGGGGCGACAAGTGCAATTAACTGAAGTGGTTTCTTTTCTTTTCCAAGTTGGCTTCACTTATACACACTTTTTATATTTTTTTAGCGTCACATTATATAAAACAAATCACTCACGTGTATGCACTTTATACATGCGCGCGTAATGATTCGCGCATGTGATGTAAAGGCAAGTAACAAAAATCATAATGATGATGAAGGAGGAGACTAGAGACCGGCGAGATGCTAGTCAATGATCATCATTATGATGAAGGAGGAGACTAGAGGCCGGCGAGTCGCTAGTCAACGCTCATCATTATGATGAAGGAGGAGACTAGGGACCGGCGAGTCGCTACTGAACGATCATCATTATGATGAAGGAGGAGACTAGAGACCGGCGAGACGCTAGTCAACGATCATCATTATGTTGAAGGAGGAGACCACAGACCGGCAAGACTCTAGGGAGGGGAGGGGGGGGGGGGATATTTTTCATTGAACATAAAATCATTTAGAAAGAAATGCAGAGTATGGTTACTTGAACAACAAAAATTGGAGGCAGGTATTAAGTTTCATATTATATAAATTTGCCGATTTACATAGCACATATGTTTATACATTTTAGTCTTTTCTTTACGTTGTTTCACGTCAATGCCAAGATAAGGTTAAGATACTGTGTTTTTTAAAAGGTGGCTGTGGCAGAATACCAGTGGTGACCTCAAATCACCACATAGCTGAGTCACAGGCCAGTTTGTCTCATTTTTTTAATGTATGTTTTCACTTAAGTATGTTGCTAGATAAGTTTGTGATAATTTTTTTGTACAATTTTAACTATCATGTGTGAATTGAGACAAATAAAACTCTTTATTATTATTATTATTATTTATAATTACTGCGCTTGGCAGCCGGGTCGGCAACAGTTTTTTATTTTTTTAAAACAATAATAAGAATATACTGTGGCCCACTTCCTGTGTCTTTTTTTATAGGATAGGGTGACAAACGAGCACACAGTCCACCTAATGCTAAGTGGTTGCTGTGGCCCATAGACATTTACATTTATCCTCGTTTGCGAATCAAAATGCAGATGCGTTGTCACCCGTGAGGACTAAGATGAAATGCTTCTTTTCCAGTAAAAATGGCCTCCGGTTTTCTACACTCACCATACGAAACACAGCAGTGATAAGCTGCTATTTTACGCTGGTATTCTGTGAGAGCGTAATCCTTCCCTATTTGAGCCGACCCATTCGTGCTACAACTATACTACTAATATAGATGGAGCATGGCTCTACCACGTAAAAATATTATTTTCCTGGTTTATTTCCCTCTGTCGCCTCTTGTGATACCCACGGGAAGATATGGGTTAGTAGTAATTCTCACCACGGTAGTGGGTAGAGAAGAAATCTATTATAATATAATATAATTGTTTATAGCGATGACATGGGAAAAAATCTAGGCATAACTTTAAATAACTCTTTAAAGGGGCAAATAGTTACAAATTGCTTTATGCCTGGAGCATCTTTTAGTGACATCCTAAATAAAATTATTGTTACTAAATTTTGCCCAAATAGTACAATAATAATTTTTGTTGGTAGAAGAGGCAGTGTCAACAACAAACAGTTATTAAGATATATTGAACAACTTAATAACTTAAATGTACACAAAATTGTCTTGTTCACACTGCCTTATATACAGGGATTGCCACAAGAAAATAATTTAAGACATCATTTAAATATACAAATGCATAATTTAATATGTAATAATAATTTAAATTTGACATATAATTCTAATGATAATAATCATAAATTTCATGTAATTGACATAAATAATTTAATAAAAAAGTTTTGGACAAAAGATAGGTATTACCTATCCAAATATAATTTAAGACTGATAGCAAATGTGCTATCTTATTATTTACTTTTTAACTCAGCCAAGTTTTTGGCTACCAAGACTGCTTTTATTGAGCATAATCATTTGACATTTAATTTGGAATCAGTTCCAACTAATTTAAATTAGTGAATGTGACAATAGAGGCAATCTCTAGCAATAATAAGAGTTTAATTAATTTTGAATACAGCCCACAAATAAGTAATAAAAATTGTTTATACCTGGTGCATCAAAATATACAAGGCATGTTGGGCAAAGAATTGGAAGTTGAATTGTTTTTAAATAGTAACAATATACACATCCTTTGTATTACTGAACATTGGCTAAAAGATTATAATTTCATGTTTAATTTCAGAAATCACCAGGTGGTCAGTTCCTTCAATAGAGAAAAAAGTTTACGTGGTGGCTCCTTAATATTAGCAGATAAATCATTATTATATAAAGAACGTAAGGATATTGTGAGCCTCTCTGTTGAACGAACTGTAGAAATGGCTTGTGTCGAGCTTGAGCACCACATTGTTGTAAGTGTTTACAGACCCCCATGTGCTACTTATGATCATTTTGAAAGGATTGTGGAAGAAGTTTTACTCAAACTTAGTAAACAGAACAAGTCTGTTGTAATGTGTGGAGACTTTAATATCAATCTCCTTGAAACTTCTTCCATTAGTATTAAGTTTCGCTCATTGTTTAAATCGTATAATCTTGTAAATTTATTCTTAGAACCAACACGTATTGCTGGGCCTAGTGCGACCTGTATAGATAACATTTTTACAGATGTTAAGCCCTTGCATAAATCAATTATTCAAAATTTAAGTTCAGATCACTGTGGACAGTTAGTATCACTACCTTACATACACAAAAAACAGAAAAATAAGAAAGTTGTGTTTGTTCCAATAAATGAACATCGCTTGGAGAGGTTTAGAAGTAATATAATAAAAAGACTTCCATCACTTTCGTTTAAAAATAGTGCTAATTATTTGTATGCTACATTATTTGAAATTATACGTTGTGAATTTAGTAGAATATTTACTTCTAAAACTTTCTCTTTTAACAGTCGCAAATCATTTAATGAATGGGCGATAGTAGGAATTTATAAAAGTAGGCGAAGGTTATATGAGCTTTATGATGAAAGATCATATAATAGTAGTGTTATATTTAGAGATTATGTAAAAACATATTCTAAAATATTTAAAAAAGTGTGCTCCACTGCTAAGGCTTTACATTTAAGCAACAAAATTAAAACTGCATCCGACAAAATTAAAATGACCTGGAGAATAATAAATAGTGAAACGGGCAAGGTCAAGCCGCGCAACTCGGATTTTCAATTGAATATTAACAATAATTTAACGCGATCTGATCAAGAAGTTGCTATGGCTTTTGAGAAACATTTTACTGATGTTCCTTGTTTGACAACAAAATCATTAAATTCTTCTCCTACCTTCGCCGAATCATTGCTCAAACAAAATGTAAAGGCTTGTTCAAATACTTTTAAATTCCATAGGGTACTGCCAAAAGATATCGTTAAATATTTTAAAACTATTGATGTTAAGAAAACGGCAGACTTATGGGGGATTTCCGTTAAAGTTATTTTATCTATAATACCTTATCTAGCCACTATATTTAATATAAGCGTCGAATCTGGTGTGTTTCCTGATTTAATGAAACATAGTAAAGTCATACCTATATTTAAATCTGGTAGTACATTAGACCCCGCCAATTTTAGACCAATTTCTGTACTACCAACATTAAGTAAAATTTTTGAAAAAATTATTTTAGATCAGATGTTAAGTTTCTTTAATATTAATAAATTGCTACATAAAATCAATTCGGTTTTACAAGGGGTCGCTCGACAACTGACGCTGGAGTTGAGCTTATTAAACATATTTTTTGTGCATGGGAGAATTCAGAGGATGCTTGGGGTATATTTTGTGACCTTTCCAAGGCCTTCGACTGTGTTCACCATGAGACATTAATCAGGAAGCTACAGTACTATGGTGTCAAGAACACAGCGCTTAAACTTATTATTTCATATTTAAGTAATAGAAAACAGAAGGTTATTATCAATGGTAAAAGTTCTTCCGGGTCACCTGTACTAATGGGTGTACCTCAGGGCTCGATTCTCGGCCCATTCCTGTTTCTGGTGTATATTAATGACTTACCTCACCTTGTAGGTGATAGTCATGATATAGTATTATTTGCTGATGATACTTCCTTGATTTTTAAACTTAAACGTCAATCATTTAAATGTGACGAAGTGAATAATGCTATATCAAAATTAGTGCATTGGTTTAACGTTAATAATCTGCATTTGAACGGAAATAAAACTAATTGTGTTAAATTTACAACAACGAATGTTCAAAATCTGAATACCAATGTGTTTTTAAATGGGGAGGAATTGAGCCCTGTTGTATCCACTGTTTTTCTTGGCATCACTCTTGACGCAAAGCTCCAGTGGGGCCCCCATATATCCAAATTAGCAAGCAGACTAAGTTCTGCAGCCTATGCTGTAAAAAAGATTAAGAGGTCTCACTAGTGTCTAGACAGCTAGATTAGTTTATTTTAGTTATTTTCATAGCATAATGTCTTATGGGATTTTGCTATGGGGAAATGCGGCTGATTCAGAAACTATTTTTGTTTTACAGAAGAGGGCCATTAGAGCTATTTACAATCTAAAACCGAGAGAGTCTCTTAGAGATAAATTTAAAGAAATTAATATATTAACTTTGGCCTCTCAGTATATTTACGAAAATTTAATGTATGTTCACAAAAACAAAGATAGTTTTAGTAAAAGAAGTGGACTAGGAACAAACACAAGCTAGTGATACCAGTTTCTCGACTCCACAGAGTCAGTAATTCATTCTTGGGGCAATGTATACGCTATTACAACAAGGTCCCGGAAAGTGTACAGGTTCTCTCTAATACCAAGTTTAAATGTTTTATTAAGCTGAAATTGTATAAAAAGGGTTATTATAGTATAAATGAATACATGATTGATAATAACCCCTGGGAATGAGGTGATCGCTTCCAAGCAGTTTCTAAAACACATTTTGTAAATAGTTCGTAATAATTTATATTGTAAAATTTATTTAAAAAAAAAGTCCCGCTGGGTTTCTTGCTGGTTCTTCCCAGGACAGAGGGTTTTTTTCGAACCAGTGGTAAAGTTAAAAATGACTTTCAATAAGAATTACACATGTAATGTATATTGAATAAAAAAATATTCTATTCTATTCTATTCTATTCTATTAATATGAAATCCAAAGCGAGATATATATATATATATATATATATATATATATATATATATATATATATATATATTGTATAGAGCATGTAATACCGTTATATCGTTACCGCAATTTCGCGAATTTCGCGCTGTATTTCAGTACCGCAAAAGCGAGATTACAGATGCGAATTTAAACGAACCCGGTATGAAACCGGAGGAACAATAGGTAAATATCTGGAGACTGTATTATAACTATCTGCTAAGCATTCCATTTCCACCAACGACCGTAGAAGCTGAGAGAGCATTTTCAGCTGCTGGATACATATGTAATAAAATTAGTAGTTCTTTAAATGATGAGACAGTGGATATGGTTTACTTTTTACATAAAGATTTCCAAGGTAAAAATTAAGATTAGGGTTATATGTGTCATTAATTGTAGTTATCTCATATTAGTGTTTTAAATTAACACCAATTAAAGATTTTTTAGTCATGTTATTGTTTTAGTTAAACCGCCATTAAAGGATTTTTTAATATCGCAATATCGCAAATTTTGCGATATTACAAGTTCCAATACCGCAATATTGCGGTAAATATACTGCGGCATTGCATGCTCTAATATTGTAGTAGTAGAATATTTAAATTTAAATTGAAAGTTCTTCAAGAAAAACGTAATTCCCACTAGAGGCAACAACCTCAACTTTCTCTTTTTGTTGGGATATCCCAATGAAGTTGTCGCTTTGAGGTGTCGGTGTGCGCGCGCGTCATAACAAATTCACTCTTATAATATTTCCCAAACGCCCCAAAAGAAGTATAACTACAAAAATTAAAATTTATAATTAGACAATCATAGCAGAACGAAAACCAGCGTAAAATAGCAGCTTAACGCTGCTGTGTTTCGTATGGTGAGTGTAGAGAACCGGAGACCCTTTTTACTGGCAAAAAGGCATTCCATCTTAGTCCTCACGGGTGACAACGCATCTGCATCTTGAGTCTTTATTGAGGATAGATGTAGATGTCTATGGGTCACAGTAACCACTTACCATCAGGTGGACTGTGTGCTCGTTTGTCACCCGATCCTATAAAAAAAATTGCAGTATAGACAAACGAGCACGTAGCCCACCTCATGGTAAGTGAATACAACTACATTGTCTACCTCATTGTAAGTGGATGTTTTAGCCCAAAGTAATTTATTAAGAATGCAGATTATAGATTAAGATTCAACGATGGTGTCACACCTGAGGACAAAGATAGAATGTTTCGTTGCCAGTAAAAGAGGTGTTCTATTCTTGTGACTCACCATGCGAAACACATCAGCTTTATGCTACAATTTCACGTTGGTATCCTACGCGAGCGTGATGTTCCCGATTCGAATTGCAGCCAACCATAACTCTACTACGTATAAATGCATCCACCTCCAAGAACTCAAAGTTGGTGTCAAGAAAAGTATGTCATTATAAAATAGTTACTTACTTGGCTTTGGGACAGTTCATCTCGTCGGAATTGTCGCGGCAGTCATTGTCGCCGTCGCACACCCACTCTTTGTGAATGCACAATCCGTTTGAGCATTGAAATTTCTCTGACGTACAGTTCAAAGCGCCGTCTGTTGTGAGATATACGCGTTGATAAATAAGTCTACTATACAAAAGATGACATGATTTTTGATGATAATGATAATAGTAGTGATAATATTGATTAATATATTATTTTTTGTAAAACATTGTCCTCACACTAGTAATTTCTCCTGTATCGTAGAGGCAGTTTACAAACATAAATTGCACATAGTTATTTGGAGGCCATACAAATACTTGTCCTGTGCAGGATTCGAACCTGCGGCCCTTAGCGCCGCAACTCGATGCTAAACCGCTGCGTCACGGAGCTGTCAAATTAATGTCACAATCATCATTACAACGTATTGAAATTCTACTGCTGAACCTACTGCCCTGTACCAGAATTCGTCGGATTTCTCCATAGATAGTAAGGTTGGATGGACATTGACATAGACATAGTTGTGAAGTTCGTCAGACGGGTTGGTAACCGCACTTTTTTATTGTTTTGATTTCTTATTACAAAGATGCTCAATTAGAGCTCTAGCGGCGGTGGGCCTCAACGAAGACTGGCCATCTGGCTAGTCTCCGTTTATGGGTAGTCTCCGTTGAGTCTCACTACCGTGACCAAATATTTTGAGGACGTTAACAATCTATAGAAATGGACAGAAGGTTATTAAATTGTGTCAGTGTCATCACTGTATTCTTCCGTTATTTTGTAGACTTACGTATAATTCTTACGGTGATATTGCTTGACTAGTGTGCATACATTAATTATAGCAGTGCAGTTACTCATTTAAAATTTTAATACATTAATTTCATATATATCAATAATTTAAAGAAACCATTTTAAATGCAATTTTTTTGCATGCATTTTGTTGAGTTATACTTATTTCTGTCTTACCGCAACGTGTTTCGTCAGAGAAGTCACCACAATCGTTATCACCATCGCAGATCCAATCAAGAGAAATACAGACGTTGGTGCCATGGCATATGGTTCGATTTTCGTTTTCGTCGCACGAACGTGCACATCCTTGCTCGTCTTCCGCTTCTGCACATTCAGCCACTCCATCGCAGCGCTTCTCCATCGGTATACAAATGCAAGAGATCTACAATATGAAGGATATAATTATTATGGTGTTTATTAGTTTATTCATCAAATAGGTTTTTACTACGTCTAACACCTTTCATAAGCTTCTTCCAAATTTCTTCTGGGTTGTGATTTTTCTCTATACTAGCCTACTTATTCTCGGGTCCTCTCAGTATAATAAAAGTAGTAATTTGAACGTACTTCAAAACTTGTTATTATATTATTTCAATATACTAAGTATAGAACTTTACTTAATTTTTTATTATTTAAACTTTATTGGTATCACCTTTATAGATAAGGTAACAAATGGCAGACTTAATAGCTAACGGCATTCTCTGAGAGTCAACCCGTGGCGTGATGAAATATTGTGGTAAGTGATAAAACATACATACATACAGCGATATTTATATTATATATATAGGATTTCTACTCATACAATATATATTAATACGTAAACAAAACATAATAAGTATATATTATATTTATACGATATAGACAGACATACATAAATTAAAATTGCAAATAATAAAACATATAAATATAACATCATCACGCATATCGTCCAGCATCACTTTATTTTAAGAGGTAGTCAAATACTATTAGGTACCTCTCAAAACAGCACATAGTTATGAAGATATGATTTATCTTCTTTATACTTTACTGACACGTCTTATTCTTTTAGGCTCATAAGCTTAATTACTTCATTTATTTCATTCAAACCAACTAGTAACACTCATCAAGTACGTCGTTAGCACTTCCATTAAGTTTTCCATTTTCTTCAGTTTAAGTGCCTATATTTAAGTATACGTAAGTATTATTTAATTTGAATTACCTGACATGAAAATTGTTCCGGAGCACACGGATGATGGCAGCCACCGTCATCAGCATCGTCGTCAAAGTCGTCGGATACAACAACTGAATCGTGTGCCAAGGGTCGATCTAATGTGAAAATTGTTTTATTTACTTTCCAAATATTTAAAGTTTAAAAATTACCACGTTGTGATGACTTCGTATTATGTCATCATCTCTATCATTATTACTGGCCTTCACAAATCCACTGCTTTCCCCAAGGAATGTCACAAAACACGTACTGAACCATCTGCACCCTTCGACATCGAGCATGTCTTACCAGGTCGTCACATCATTTAGTGGTGGGATGCCCTACTTTTTACCTATTGTTACGAGGCTGCCACTCTTGAACCTTTCAATTTTAATATCCCCATACTAACAGAAGTGAAAAACCAGGTCTCAGGTTCTCATAAAACCACTGGCAACATGCACTGGTTTTATACTTGTTTAAAGGTTTTGAGGATACGTGACGAGATGTGTCGAGAGTACCTGGGAGAGTTGGACCCATCAACCAACCTCTGGGTCGAAGTTGGAATGGTCGTGCATTTTGTCTTAGGTATACATACATACTTGTTAACAACTATAATGTTTGTAATGTTTTAACAACAACAGAATGTGTCATATTATTGACTTTGCTTAATCTATCACCAAAATACAACAAGATGCGTTTATGTGTTCCGTAAAAGTATTACTTACCTTTACCTAGACTATTGGTTAACTATTCCACTGCCTAATGATGACATGATCTCAACCGTTTCAGATGAAATAACTCGTATAGACTGAAACTGTAAATACGACTAGTGTGTGATTGTTAAGCTTGTTAGTGACACTGACGTAAGAAAATTAATACGAAAAATTGAGAGAGATATATGAATAAAAATATGAATGAAAGATATATGAAAAAATCGAATATTTATTGACTCTAATAGTCTTGCCTAGTGCGGCTAGACGTCAAGTATATGATACGCGGTTTACATCAATGGTTATGTGAAAAAGCCGCTCATTAGATGTATTACAGCTGCAGCATGAATAGTTCGGTTTGTATAGATCATCATCATCATCATTACAGCCTTTCATAAGTCCACTGATGAACATAGGCCTCCCCCAAGGAATGCCACACAGCACAGTCCCGAGCCACCTGCATCGGTTTGTATAGATGATATATGATAAATAAGATGATGCTTTCACAGAATACCTATGTATGGCGAGTAACGAGAACCGTTGACCCCGTTAACTTACTAATAATAAGGCACTCCATATTAGTCCTCAGCAACAACGTATCTGCTTTATGATTCTTAATCGAGGATAGGTAGTAGGTCTATGGACTATATCCACTTACTGGAATGGACTGAACTGTTCTAATTATCACCCTTATTTAGAATTTCGAAAAGACTTGTATGTGATGAAAAACTTTTCGTAGCAAAATTATTAAGCAAAGCCGACTCGTTCATGCCGCAGAGTTTGAAGTATTGCATGCCGTAAGCGCGCGGCGCGCAGGTATGTTCTGCTATTTTTATAATATTCCATTAGATCATGTTTATTTAAAAGTATCTATCATATTTTTGCCACTTACGAAAACTGCTGTTGTTTATTTATTGTTAAAAAATCGAGCGAAATTCTGTGTTTTACTTACGGTGCCATGAGTCGACCCTTGTGTAGGGGCTGTGTGGTCGGAAGCCTGGTATTTGTATCTGCACTGGCACTACGCCGACGGCCGGCGGCTGGTAAGGTGGCACGCGGCCGACAGAGCGCGTGTCCGCCGGGTCAGCGGTAGCATTAGCAGGCCGTGGAATTGCGAGGGGCGCGAGTTCATCTGCGCTTGCTGGCGTAAAAAGGACTTTAATGTCACTCATTGCAGGAAAAATAGCTTGGAATGATATAACTTAGCTAGAATTATCCTTAACTGTCGTCATATGCTACAAGCATAAAATAAAAAAAAATTGACTTTACGGTGTACAATTTCACCGACCTTACAATTAACAAAGTTACGTAATCACAAAAAAGTTAAAGTTCTAATTTAAGCATCAAGGCCAGTCACGCTTTTGTATTTCATTCAACTCAAGCGACGTAATCACAAAATTTTAAATTTTTGTTTTTTTAGTAAAATTTTAAAATAACAAGAACACATACAAAGGCCTTACCACATAAGCACACGAAGGCGGAACAGGTGATATAGAAAACTAAGGGCGGCATGGTGAACGGGTCTTCGCTTACGCTGGAAGCTTAGGTGACCTGCGCGGTGTTGTGCAATTCTATTCCACGACGATCAATCATAGTGTCGGCTCACTTCACCTGCTTGATAAATAATATATAACAGTTAATAGCCATTCAGAAACAAATTATATCTATTATATTGTAAAATATAGTAGGTAATTCAATTGAATAGAAAATATTAGCCATGATGTGGATATGCTATGTGTAATGACAGAACCGACTACCTCATAAAATTACGTAGGTATCACTAAAAGTAGACAGATGGAGAAGGCAACTGAAATTGGAGATTGTCGGCAGCATCTTCCTTTTTTTATAAGAGTTACAAACGATCACACAGTCCACCTGATGGTAAGTGGTTACTGTGGCCCATAAACATCAACTACTATCCTCGATTACGAATTAAAAAGTAGATGCATTGTCACCCGTGAGGGCTAAAATGAAAAGAATGCCTCGTTTCCAGTAAAAAGGGTCTCCGGTTCTCTGCACTCACCATACGAAACACAGCAGCGTTAAACTGCTATTTTACGCTGGTATTCTGCGAGAGCGTGGTCCTTCCCCGACCGAGCCGACCCATTCGTGCTACAACTATACTACTAATATAGCTGCAGCATGGCTTAACAACCTGATAACAACTCGAAATAATAAAAAAGTGCGATTGTCGGTTGTGTGCGATTTTAGAGGCATTAATAGGCTTACGGGTTGATGAGAGGAGCATTATTAAATGTCCTAAATACGAAGGTATACAAGAAACAAGGGTATACTAACGTGTATGAAAACAAAATTATTCTGGTGCCTATAAAAAAAAGGGGAACATAAAAATTAGTTGAGCCGGTGTGATGAAAAGAACTGTGTTAGTTAACTTGCATGGTAATTGATGACGTCTAAATAACTATATTATAACGATAACCATTATTATTAACTCATTTATTTGTACTTGTATTGTAAGTTTAAAGTTTAAAGCTACCCGGTCGGGCTTTGCCTGTCTTGGATCTAATAATATGACGTCATTTAGGTCTATGACAGTCATGAAAGACTATTATTTTATATATTTTTTTAAAATCACAAAAATATTCTAATTTTTTAGGTAAAATATATAATCCTACATTACTTCTGGCGTTGCTCTCTATATGTTTGTGATCAACAATTCTGATTCATTCTACTGAAGGTCAGACAGACAAACAAACAAAATATTTAGAAATGGTTATTCATGTCTTCATAGCATGTAAATAACGTTATGAGCTCAGTAAAAGGTCGTTATTTTGATGTTCTCGTAACTTCTCGTTCTCTGCTTGTGCGATTGAATCCGGGCGTCCAAATGACAGCTCCAGTTCTCGCATGATCTCATCTGGTTAGGCATGGCCGACGAGTTCTGGAGCTGACGGTCTCTAAGGCTTTTCCTTGTAGACTTTTTCTTAGTCTTGCTGTATACACTATGTCATTGAAGTAGCCTCGGGTTGTTTCGTAGATGGCACGGAATGAAAACCACTCCGTGTGTACTCTGCTGAAGCTCGGGAGTGTCATGATGGCTTTCGATGCTGCGAAGGTATACGACGGTAGTGATGCATTCTCTGGTTTTGGTTTGTTGGCGAGTGCGGCGATTGCGGATGTGAGCTCTGCGATAAATGGTCGGAGTCCCCTGTCTTCATTGTTGGTGGGTTCCGTGTTGAGCTTCTGTGGTGTTGGATCCTTGAGCCCATCTGCTGGTTTGGGATCTTGATGTGTGAGCTCCTGTTGAGGCTCACTGAGGTCAACGAATCTCGGGAGGGGCTTTGGTATGGATTTGATTTAAAACGTCATAATTGTTCTTCTCCGCATCTTCGTATAGCTCACGACCCGATGGGTTAATCATTCTAGATCCCCACGCCGGGTGTTTGGCGTTTAGGTCCCCGGCGATGATGGTGGGAGTTATGCCTTCCATTACTGTCCAGACGTCTGAAGAGTAAAATGGAGTCCCTCGTGGACGATATGCTGCAAAGATCCTTAGTTCCTCGCACACCGCCTCCATTTTAGTGCTAACAGAGCGCATCGTTTGGTAGTCTGCCAGCCCTAGATCTTAATGGACGATGTCCATCCTCACTGAAACCGCCGTCCCTCTGTAGGCGATCCCTTGAGGATTGACCTCGTTCCGCCTGTAGATATGGTATTTTGGCAGCTTTAGAGACGTAGATGCAATGAAATGAATGAATAAATGCTCCTAGCAAGATCACCTGGAAGTCTTATGTGTAGAGCGGGCTCTATTTTCAGATAGAGCTCTTTCCGGCGCTCTGCCCACGTTGGTTTCTTTTCTTGTAATGCTAGTAACCTGTGCCTGCGAGGCTATCATTACTGTTGGTGACGGGGTAGAGGTAACAGCCTGAGGAGGAGGCTGCACCTTGCTCTTCTTCCGCCTCACCCGCTTCCTCTTTTTAGAGGCCTGACGCTACGTGGCGTCGTTAGCGGGGGGTTGGAGAATTGTCCTGGTGGTTGCCCTGGACTCAACCGGATCCACCGTTTCCATTGGTGTTACGGGCTGGGGAGGGAGGCTGACTGCCTACCCTTCTCCCTAACGGTGGCCCACCAGTCTTCTTTCATTGTTACCGCTCTTGGGAGATCCTCTTCAGATCCTCCGGGAGTAGGCCTGGCAGATTTCTAAGATCTTTTGGTCTTTGCAGGCCAGCTACATTGGATTGTGGTCCTTCTTTATCACTCGATGAAATCAACCAACATTCCGCTTCTGTAAAAGCATTGGGCCCTACAATTCTCTCCCAAACTATGACTTCCATTGCTTCTGTGCAACCTCCTAACATTCCTACCTTTAATTTTTCTCCTGTTTCTCAGGATGATGTCAAAAATACTATTTTAGCAATCCAATCCAAGGCGGTGGGCTATGATGAGATTAGTACACATATGGTAGTATTTATACTAGAGCACCTTCTTCCGGCAATTTCCCATATTATCAATTTTTCCCTTGATTCATGTCAGTACCTTAATCTTTGGAAGAGGACTTTTATAAAGCCTCTCCCAAAAGTTCCTACTCCCATTCTTCCCAATAATTTTCACCCTATATACACCCTTTCTTTCCAAAATTTTAGACTCCTGTGTTTACAAACAAATCTCTACTTTTATTTCGAAACATAACCTACTGAGTATATTTCAGTCTGGGTTTCGCCATGGTCATAGTACCACTACTGCTTTAATTAATGTTAATGATAATATTAGACAAGGTATGGAAGAAAAAAAGATAACTGGTACTAGTTGATTTCTCAAATGCTTTCAACACAGTTGATCATGAAATCTTCCTTTCCATACTGTCTCATCTGAATTTTGGTCCTACTGCTTTGGAATGTTTTGCATCTTATTTTGGCGGTTTACAGCAGTCAGTCTGTGTGGGGAATAAGGCCTCAGCTTGGGCTTATGTGGATGCTCGTGTGCCGCAAGGCGGTATTCTTTCTCCTATAATTTTTATAAACTTTATCACCTCTATCCTCAACTGCTCGTATCATTTGTACGCCGATGACCTTCATCTTTATGTGCAAGCTGAAATTTGGGATATCCATAATGGGATCAATAAATTTAACGACAACTTCTCAGCTACCAATGATTGGTCTACTCGTTATGGAGTTTTGGTCAATCCTTTGAAATGCCAAGCTATACTTGTGGGTAGCTCAAGGATGCTAGCTAAGATTAATCTGGCAGATTTACCTCCTATTTATTATGATAGTATTATAATTCCGTTCAGTAATTCTGTTAATAATCTTGGCCTACATATCAACAGCACGTTGAATTGGAGTCGTTTTAGAAGTGAGTCGTAAATTCATTGCCAGTTTATGCTCTCTGTATCGTCTAAAACATTTTCTTTCCACAAAATCTGAGATCGTGCTTATGCAATCGCTCATATTACCTATAATTGATTATGCAGATGTGTGTTACGCAGATCTGCCCCAAGATCTTCTGAACAAGCTGGAACGCTTTCTTAATAACTGTATAAGGTTTATTTTCGGGCTCCGTAAACATAACCATATTTCGCAATATAGATCTAAGCTAAATTGTCTTACAATCCGTCAGAGGCACAATTCCAGAATATTGCTTGTTCTTTTCTCCATTTTAAATGATCCATCTTCGCCTTTTTATCTTAAGAGTAAATTTCACTATCTCTCCTCATCTCATGATAGGGTCTCCTACGTTCTTCTTCTAACAACAAAATCTGTATTCCTGTTAACTTCACCGAGTTCTATGGTAACTCCTTCACAGTTCAGGCTACACGCCTTTAGAACTCCTTGCCCGATGACATCAGAAAAGCACCCAATAAGTAGGTACGCTTTTAAAAAATTGATCTGTAATCATCTATTGAAGGCAACGCATTTTACATTATTCATCCATTTAATATTTATTGCTAAACAGACGCATATATTCATAGGTATTTGTATGTACTAATTATATATGTATTTAAATATGTTTAATATGTATATTTGTATGTATATATTTGTATATATATGTCATATATTTGTATATATGTATACATATATGTATAGTTTATTTATTAGTAAAATGTATGTATTATGTAATTAATTATCATTTTGTGTAGTGTTATTTTATTCTATATTGCCGCACCTACGTCAAATTCTCACCACTGCATTCGTTGACTGGTAGAGAATGCCTCAAGGCATTAAGTCTGCCCTTTGTATTCTTTTGTTTTAAGGAGTGCAATAGAGAATAATAATAATTCTAAGCGATTAATTGAAAACAATTTTACTCCACGTACCTATATTGTTTAAATCACTATATCGTGGCGAACACTACTTTAAGCTCTAAAGATTTCTTCAGACACTAATTGTCGGAGTAGCGTTTTGAGCAGACAATTTTTATAACTACATAACGCACATTTATGAAACCGGATGTATCTGTTTGGTAGTTTGTTGATTGGTACTTAAATATTTTGTCATTGTCATTATACTGTACTAGATCTGGACGCCTTCAATTTCCGTTACATACTCGTCGCA